GCTACTTAATTTTAAGTAAAGTATCAAACTGCCTATTTACTCTGTAAAAGGTTCCAGACTTTAAAGTTCTGCTTTCAAAACCAATTATTACATTGATGCTCCTGAAAGCTAAAAGAAACTGTTATAATTAATTGACAGGCGGGGACTTATTATCCAAGCTTTAAACACTGTTCTTGCACATAGGACCAACCACCCGCATTTATGTGCATGCCCATGGAACAATAATTTGGAGAATGATGGCATCAGCTGCTCAGGACTCTGATTAGCATTCTGAAATTTCATAATGGTTTACCTCTTAACACCTGTGCAAACTCCCATTTTCCAATCAGGTATGGAATTAAGCTATATTTGTAGTATGGCTTATTTCTTTCTGGATAGAGAAAACAGGCCAAAAGATTTTTATCAATGTGGTAACCTCTTTCAAAAGACGGGCATGCATGGGGCCTCCCTGGTGGCGCAGCGGTTGAACGCTGGGTTGCAAAGCTGCCCGCGGCCTCTGCAGCGCCAGTTCCATCCCCGGCTGCTCCCCGGCCACCAGAGGAGGGTCCCACATGGCGCGCAGACCTCTCCTGCCGCCCGCTGCTCCCCTCAGCAGTGTACTTCGGTCCTTCTGCCTGCTCTGCTCCCCGCTCTGGCTCTGGTGAATTCTCTCACCCTCCCGCGCTTCTGACTGTACCCAGTGCATGCATAAACAAAACAAACAAACAAACAAACAAATAAATAAAACATGCCTCTGTTAAAAAAAAAAAAAAAAGATGGGCATGCATGCATAAAAACAAGGACCTCAGTAAAGCCATATCTTTGCTAAACAGATGATCTTCACTTCCAGAAGTGAAAATCTACGAGAAGGATTTAACAGCATGTATGGCTTCCAACTCAAAATTTACATGGGCAAAACCAAATGCAGAAGAGTGCTATAAATAGCTTTCTATGCTAATGTAGAAATACTCTACAGAAAGGCACCCCCACCATACTTCCTATACTTAAGCAATTAATATCAAGTATTCATTAACAAAGCTAAAAATCATCTAAGAACATATGTATAACATTAATCATTGCTGCACTGCTGGCAACAGTAAAAGGTTGAAAAGCAAACTCCCAAATGTTCAATAGGAAGCAATGCTAGAAAATGATGGCATATGCATACAAAGGAATATTATACAGTTGTCAAAAAAGAACCAAGAAACTCTCCAGCATGGAGATAATATGAAAAACATCCCTTGAAAGTGAAAACAAACAAGGTGCAGAACATTCCAAATAGCAATAATGTTCTTGTATTTATATAAGAAACTCTGGGGTCTCCCTGATGGCACGAGGGTTAAGCAGCAGCACTATGAAACTATCGGCAGCAACTGCAGCATGAGTTTGATCCCCCGTCAGGGAGCTGACCCACATGGAGCCAGAGACCTCTCCTGTCTCGCCCACTGCTCCCCTCAGCTGTGTGTTTCAGTCACTCCTCCTGTTCTGCTCCCCACTCTGTCTCTGGTGAATCCTCTACTCCTCCCCCTCCCCTGCACCCCTGGCCTAATACACCTGGTTCATATATACATAAATAAACCTTTTTTTAAAAAAAAAGAAACTCTGGAAGAATCCCAAAGAAATCAAATCAGTTACATGCGAAAGGGGGGATGTACAGGGAGGTGAAGAGCCGGGATGGGGTGGGGAGGCAGGGGTGTTAGGGGGAGAGGATGTCCTGAGCTAATCCCATACAGGCTTTGTGGACCCCACCCCCACTCCAGACTAAAGCCATCAGGACATTGGGAAAGACAAATCCCGTCACCACCGAAGGGAAGGTGGCTGGGACCTGAGGGTGGGGTTAAGCAGCCAGGTTGGATATAAAAACCAAACACGTGGGCCTTGGGCTGGCTCGCTCTGTCGCTCACCTCCTGGCTTCACGGCTCCCGGCTCGCGGCCAGCTCTCAGAGCGCCATTTGGGTTTCCAGATCGGCGGATCGGGTAGGACACATTTAAAACTTTGTCTCCCACTTTTCTCCCTGAGCTGTGCATTTCCTCATTTCCCCTTCCCTTGTCAATAAGCCTTTTATTAACCTTTCGCGTGTGCCTGCCGTAGAGCATTGGTAAGTCCTTTTAAGCGCGCGGGTGAGGACCCACAGTCAGGCACCCCGTTTTGTATCGGGGCTGCCCCATAACAGTTGTACTGAGAATAACATCCTCACTGGATACCTTTTCACTCTTTTACATTTGGAACCATGTGGCTGTCGTACTTACTTGAAAAATAAGCCATCCTAAAAAACTGTGTTTCCACCTAGCTCTACTTTTTTTAAAAATACAAACCCAAGTTCCAACATGAAATCAGCTGTTCTCAATAATTTTTAAACGTTTCCAGTTCAAAGTGCATACAAAACTAAGGGGTTTCTTTAGAAACACTAAACAAAGAAAAGCCATTTTTGCTGGACACTGTGACGGTTGCATGGGGACAGGTGACAGCGCTGCTTTCTGGAACAACTACTTTATTCCACAGACAGGATTCAGATCCTGTCCAGAGGGCAGAGGGTGAGCCGGCCTTGGCGGGGTCAGCCACCTGCAGAGCTCTGACTGGGCTATTTGCTCTGTCCTACCAGGACTCAAGGAGACGTCTCGAAATCCACCCAGTCGGATTCCTCCACATCACCTGAGTTTTGTTTCCATTCTGATGCAGAACAGCCTTGGCTCCTCAAAATCATCAAGGACGAGTTCAAAATTCAATTACTTATGAAGCAGCAGTGGCTGGTGGCTCAGTGAAAAAGCACTAATGTGCTGAGGACTCCGGCCACACGGAATCATTTCTCTGGGACTCGCGTTCTTCCTGGCCAAAGGAGTTGTCTTGAGCCAAATTCTCTCGCAGCTTCCTTTCAGGTCTAAAATATTGTTATCCTATAAAGAGCCAGGTCAATTAAACACCAGACGACGTGGTGGGAATCAAATTGGTGCAATCAGTGTGGAGGGCAACCTGACTCTGTCGAGTAAGGCTGGAGATCTGCAAGTGTGCAGCCACCGGCAACCCCGGCCCGGCCCAACTGTACGTCCCGGGAGGACAGGGACAGAGGAGAGAATGACTCTTTCGAGCTTTAGGAATCCCGGTTGGTTTGTTTCCCCCCCCACCTACTTTTGCTGCCGTCCAATTACCTATAACCAATTCCTTCTTTAGATGCAAACTCAAAAAATAAAAAGATGAGCTGGAGGGTGGGCGATGCCTCTAGCCCAGGGCACTGTATAAGATCATGCACATCTCAAGTACACAAAGGTTTGCTAACTGGGACGTGACTATCCTGGTTCCTATTTCTGTGTTTTACCTTCAACATAAATCATTCGGCCCACTTGCTGTAAAGATTTCCCTAGTACAAAACTTCTCATTAAAAATGAGGTACCAGAGGCTTCCCTGGTGGTGCAAGGGGTTAAGACGCAACCTATGAAGCTGTCCACAGCCTCTGCAGCACGAGTCTGATCCCTGTCCGGGGAGCTGCCCACATGGCACAGCAGACCTCTCCTGTCTCACCCACTGCTGCTGCCCTCGACGGTGTATTTCAGTAGATCTGCCTGTTCTGCTCCCCACCCTGTCTCTGGTGGATCCTCTCACACACACACCCCACCTCTGGCCTGCACCCCAGCTCTTATATGCATAAATAAATCTTTCAAAAACAAACAAAAAATGAGGTGCCATTAGGCAAAGCTTTTAAAAGACTGGTGGAGAGAAATCTTGAAGACCATAGACATCGAGTGTTCGTTAAGAAGGTTTAGTTTGCACCACTGTCTTCGTATTATCATCACCCAAGACTCACCCAGGCATCGCTGCCCTTTGGGGACGAGCCTCCTGGGATTACCCTTTGGGGACGAGCCCATGCGTGAGGGGTACAAGCTCTTTGGAGGCAGCAAACTCCACGAAAACTCCAAGCTCAGCAAAACACGCTCCATATTTGGATCAATAAGAGCTAAGTGCTGGAGGGTGGGGGAGATCCAAGAATACTTGTGCATATTTTAGTCCATTTAAAAGCAAAATGCATGGCTGTTTGCTACGGCCATAATTAGCTAAGGCTTTATCAAAGCACTAATGACGGCCAGCTTCATCCGAGGCAGCTCTAAAACAGCTCTTCATCATAGTCCTCTCCGCCAGGGCTCATTTTTTGGCAGCAAAGCAGTGAGAACCACAGTCTGGCAGACGCTCCGCAGGGTGCGGGTTCAGTGTCTGGTCCCTGCCTTCACCTGGCACCCACCGGACACACTGCTGGGAACCAGCTCCTGGCCTTGGCACGTCTTTATTCCACCGCCCCAGCGCTGACCCGGCTCCGCGATCACCGAAACCCTTCTCCGTCCTAAGCCAAAGCCAGGAGGGGGGCCCTGGTCCTCAGACGTCTCGAGAAAAACAATGAAAAGGCAGGCGCAGAGCGCGCGGCCCCCGCAGGCCGGAGCCGGGGTGCGGGCGCCCCGGACGCTCCCCCCAGCGCTGTCAAGGCTCGGCCGCCTCGGGGCGGGGGCTCCGGCCGCGGCCGCGCATCTCCCCCGGGAAGGGCCCGCGAGCAGGCGCGCCCCGCGCGCCCCGGCCCGGCCTGCGCCCGCTCCAGGCCCCGGGCTGGCTCTGCCCTGACGCCGCGCCGCGGGCCGGGGGTCGCCCGACCCGGATGCCCGAGCGTCTCGGCCCCAGACGCTTCCTCGGGCGTCTCCCCCGCGCCAGGGATGCGCCGGCACCTCGGCCTCCGCGCGCAGCCTGCGGCGCCAGCGGCTGCTCCAGCCCGGCGCGGGGCGCCCACCGCCCGGCGGCGCCTGGCACAGGTGCCCGGCGCGGAGCCCGAGCCCGCCCCGCGCGCGCGCAGCTGGGGAGGAGGGGGCGCGCGGGGGGCGCGGGGGGCGCAGGGGGGCGCGCGGGCACCCCGCCCCCGGCGCCGCAGTCCCCGCGGACACGCGCCCCCCGCGCAGGCCCGGCCCCCCGCGCCCCCCGCGCGCCCCGCGCCCGCGCGCCCCGCCCGCCCGGCCCGGCCCGGCCCGAGGGGCGCGCGCGGCCTCACCGGACTTGGGCGGGTAGCGGTACACGGCGCCGGCCGGGACGTCCACCTCCTCCACGCCCGCGCGCTGCCGGCTCGTCAGGGCGCCCATGGCCGCGCCCGCCGCCGCGCCCCGTCGGCCGCCGGCTCCGCCCGGCGCTGCGGCTCTGGCGCGGGAGCCCGGGCGCCGCGACCACCGGCCGGGGCTGCGGGCCGGGCGGGCCGGGCGGGCCGGGCCGTGATGTCAGCGGCGCGGCGGGCGCGGGGCGCGGCGGCCAATGGCGGCGCGGGGCGGGAGCGCGGCGCCAGCCAATGGGCGGCGGGGTGCGGGGTGCGGGGCGCGGGGTGCGGGGGCGCGGGGCGCGGGGACCCCGCCGGAGAGCGCGTCCGCGGCCCGGGCGCCCCGTCCCCCGCGGGAAGCTTCGCCCGCCCCGCCCCGGCCCGTGCCGGAGCCGGGCCCCGAACCCGCCGAGGGGCGCCCCGCGGCCCGACGGTGCCATGGGGGGGCAGTAGGGGACCGCGCGGCCTGCGCCCCTCGCTGGACCCGCGCCTCCGTGAGCGCTCCGCGAGCCCCGGCTCCGGGGATGGGGGACCCCGGTGTCGGTGTTGGCGCCCGCCGGGAAGATGCCCCCCTCTCGCAGGCTGAACCCCACCCGCCGCCTGCGTCCTTGACAGCTTGGGGGGGCGCAGCTGGGAGAGCGCCGGGGATCAGGTCAAGGCGGTCGCCTCTGGGGCCACCTCTCGGGAGCTCTGGGACAGCCGGGGTGTCCAGACAGCCCGGGGGCAGCAGGGGGTGCGGGGGAGCAGCAAGGGGTGCGGGGCGGCTGCCGGGTGAAGACACACACGACAGGGGAAGCTTGGACAGACAGAGGACGTCATCCCGAAGCTTAATTACAGACATTTGTGTTTTCAGCCTTTTGTTTTATTTGTGGGTCTGGTTTTGTTCGCTTTTGTTTTTCTGCGAGGGTGGACGGAGCAGCAGAAGCTCCCGAGGCCACGCCGGACTCGAACCTCTCTCCAGCCAGGGTCAGAGAGGGCTGCGCCGCGGCGGGTGGGGAACCAATGCACCCGACGTGACTCTTCCGACTTCTGGGCTTCTCCCGGCCTCCCTTCTCCGGCAGGCGTCCCCAGACCCGGTGCTGAAGGCTGGCGAGCCTCGGCTTCCTCCAAGGGCCCAGGGGCCAGGACCCCACGGCTGTCACTTACATTGACAGGATGGCCCGAGCGGCAAGTCTATGGCGGTGACCAGCTGATGGGCCCCCTCCGGCCCCCACCCCTAAGGCCTGGAAGGCTTTCAGGGCACCTCTGGGTGGGAACTGCTCTCCCTCTTCACACCCCTGTGGCCTCACACCTTGTCCCATCCTGTAATTATTGGGTAAAGGTAAAAGACAAGTCATGAAGGTTCTAGAATCCTCCCGAAATAGCGTAAAAAGTTGTGTTGCCTTTGAATCCCCACCTCTGTCCACAGGCTTGTACCGGCCTTGCTCTCAGCATTTTGTCCAGGGGCGATCATCCCCTTTCCGCACCTATTGGTGTCGGGGGTTTCTTCTTCCCAGTCGGGCCGGGCCGGGCAAGGATGTGGCTCCGTCCGGCAGCTCCGGCTGCCGCCTGTTGCCCATAGGGATCTATTCTGAGAGCCCCTCCTCGGCCTGTGCTGAGCCTGGGAAGCGGGTTGGTCCCGGTCTTGGATAACATTCCCCAAGCCTATAACGTGGTTCCTCCTCCCACATATGAGTCACCAGGCCAGTGCCTGGAAGATAAACAAGGCGCGGAACGTGAGCGCTGCTCGGATGCTTTCTATGCTCAGGCTGAGTCAAGGCTCGGCTTCAAAAAGGAGCAATAGGGACCTCCCTGGTGGCGCAAGGGGTTATTAAGACGCAACCTACGAACCTACCTGCAGCCACTGCAGTGCAAGTTTGATCCCCGGCCAGGGAGCTACCCACACGGCGCAGCAGACCTCTCCTGACTCCCCGCTGCTCCCCTCACACTGTATTTCAGTTGATCTGCCTGTTCTGTTCCCCATTCTGTCTCTGAGGAATCCTCTCATCCCCCAAAACTCTGGCGGTGACAAAACTCTGGGGTGCCTGTACCCCAGTTCTTGTATGTATAAATAAATAAACCTTAAAAGAAAAAAAAAACGAAGCAATAACCAGCCACCAAGTGTCAGGAGGCAGAAGAGAAAGGGAAGGGGTGGTTCAGAGAAAATTCTAGGTCAGAGGCTTTCCCCAATGAATCAAGTTAGAGTCCCTCGGACAACAGGGTCAGGCCACCCGCTCACAGGTAGAGACCAGAGGACGCAGCCACAGCCCAGGGCAAGGGGAGATAAGCGGCCACACCTTTCAGCAGTCCCTCTGGAGGGGCCAGCCCGCATTCCTCTCCCTCTCCTTGACGCCACTTGGCGCCCTGGACAGAGATCTGGGCCAGGGAAGGCCTGAGGGAGAAGAAGGCAGAGACAAAAGGAAGTATCCAGAAGTAACTGCCATCTAGAGGGCCATAAAAATGCTTTTAACTTGGGAAAAAAAAAATGGCCTGGGGCGGGGTGGACGGTGTAAGCACCAGCAGGCCTGTGTAAACAGCTGCGCAGCATCCTGCGGAAGTTGGCATTGCAGGGTGCAAGCCTTGCTCGGGCATCCTCGGGAGGCGGGGAGGTGGGAGCCACCTGCTCCATCAGGTCAGGGTCCTTCTCCCCAACCTCGGATCTGGGGAGAAAGCACCAGGAGGAATGATTTCTGGGTCAGCTAGTCCCTCGGCACTTTTCCTCCTGCTCATTTCGGCTGCCCTGGTTTCAGCTCACATGGGCATGTCCCACCTCGGTCACACCTGCGCTCATTTTAGCCGCGGTGCAGACGCCGCTAACGGGAAGCGGGGCACGCCTGCAGGTGAGGAGCTGACAGACCTGCCCTGGATGTAGCATGAGTCCAAGCCAGGGAGGCTGGGGGCCTGGAGGAGCTAAGTCAGGCCCCTTCTTAACCCTTCCGGGGCCAATTCTGCCCCCGTCTGGGAAGACTGCGGCCTGGCTGTGCTGAGTAAGCGCGTGGGTCTCTCCAGAAGACACCAGGTCCCTGGTGGGCCTCTTGGTCCTCAGCCCGTGATGTCAGTGGATTAAGGCTGAATCCACTGGCAGCGAACGGCACGTCCTGCCCAGGCCCGTGGCCCAGGCTGACGTCCACCAAGGGGTCGGCGTCCACAAGTCCTGGGGCCCTGGGAACAGTTCCTCTGGCCGCGCGGCAGTTTCTCTGATGAAGAAAATAACCTTGTCCATTAGGAAATCAGCCATCAGGCTGTCATTTTGCTTCTTGCCAAATGTGAATTCCTTATTGTGGATTTCCTCCTCAGCTGCGGCCTGAACAAAGAGAGCTGTTCAAAAGGCTGCGACTTCAGCTGCCTTTGTAGCTTCTTTATCTACTTTTCAAGGGAAGACAAAAAAAGACAATGTTTACGCTGCTGCTCCGCGGGAGAAGAGCAAGGCGCCTGGGGTGTGACCCTAAGCTGCCGCTCACTCTGTCAAGCTGCGTCTCACCTGCCTCGCCCTAGTTCTCAGCCTGCTCCTGAGATGAGGCCCCGGGGCCTCCGTCCCAGGCAGGGATTAGTTTAGAGGAATTAGCAGAGTCAGCTCCATCTTGCTTCAGCTCAGCTCAGCCAGCCATGATTCCCGGCCTACAAGCCCGTTTCTGTACCGTCGCCGGCCCCTCCTTTCCCGGGATCTGAGCTCACCCCCCCCACCCCCCAGAGGCTGCCTGCACAAGTCACGGAGGACAGAGGGGCCCCGAACCTTTCAGCCCAGCGTCCACGTCCCCCCAGGTGCCCCGCTGCCCTTCTTGGGAAAACCCCTCAAGTGGCCAGAGCCCCCAGCATCCTAGCATCCTGCTCCCCAGAGCAACCAGAATGTGGAAGTGGCAGTGGGGAGACAGCTCCCCCCCTTTAACTACTGAGGTTACTTAGGAAATTGAAGGAAGAAAGTGAGAACAGTTCTCTTCCTCCTCCAGGGTTTCCTGAGTACCCTGGCTGGAGCACCAGTTCTGGAAAAAGCCTACAGGTCGTCTCACTGAGCGCCCCCGCTTCTGCAGTGGAGGGGGACCAGACCCGCCCCAGGCTGTCGCGGGGCAGCCAGTACCCAGGGTCCGCCTGGCAGTGGGAAACCCATCTGCTGCTTTGGTTTCTTTTCTGAAGGGCCGACTGTCTTCTAGAAGCAGCACGAGGGGACTGAGCAGCGTGGGGGAACGCTCAGAAGCCCAGCAGAGCAGCACCCAGCACGCCATGAGCGCCCCTAGGAGTCCGGGACTGTGCTCAAGGTGGAACAAGAAGGCCATGACGCTTCTCTCAGCTGGCGTCTGCCTACTCCCTCCCTCTCCCGTGTGAAACCCGAGCTAAGGTCAGCTCCTCTGGGGCAGGAACCAGAGGGCAGATGAGCACCGAGGCGCCAGGGGGCACAGTCAGAGGTTAGCTCCAACTCTTAGCAAGTGGGTTAAAGTGCCAGCAAGAGGGTCCCTGCAAAGTGCAAGCGCGGGCTAAAGCCCACCGCAGCAGGCACGCAATGGCCTCCTGACGACGACGCCGCAGGTGTTCCTGAGCCAATTGCTTCTTTAAGCGATAATGAAAGTGCTGGCCTCGTCAGGCACTTCAAAGGCCGCGCGCTGTGCCAGCCAGGGCAGTAACAGAGCTCTCCCAGGAAACTGCTGGAAGCCTTAGATCTTTTTTATGTGCCACGAGGTGTCTATTATATTGTTTCGCTGTATATTGTTATCTTTTATGGTCCATGATAAAACCCACGTGTCTTCCTGCCCCTTGGTCCTGGTTCCTCCCGTCCACGCTCGGCCTGTCCATGAACCTTCCTGCCGTCGGCGCAGCCGCTCCCTCAGCCCCAGCCTTTCAGCGGCTCCCAGTTACCTTTCAGGAGTGCGTCCTGCTCCCAGCAACCCCCCTGCTCGTGCCCCCAGGCAGTTCTCTCTCCTGCTCAGGTTCGTTCATGGGAAAGCCAGCCTCGTGTGCCCACTTCGTGTGCCAAGGCGTGTGCCATTCTGAGGAAATCCTACCTTTTCCGTGAAGTCACCTCTGGCCCTTCGCTGGCTCTTCTCCCTCCGAAGCCCGCTGCCGGATGATTTCTGTGTAACTCTTGCACTGCGGGCACACGGGACGTCACCAGCCCCCCAGGGCAAAAGGCACGCAAGGCTCTGGAGCCAAACAGAAAGAGGTTCCAGTGTCACCTGCATGTCCCGGGAAAGCGCCTTCGTGTCTGCGCCTTAGCTTCCTCCTCCGTGAACTGGGGAACAGCAAGAGCTGTTTGAACAGGGGACGGGACGGGGTGGGGAGGGGGGCACAGCTCGGGCGCACAGCACACGCTCAGCCAATGCTAACTTTGCAAATTCATTATTTGCTTCTGTCGGACACGGAAAGCCTGTAATTATTTTTGTAGCACCTGCAGAATAGTGGGACCCCTCCATGCAGTGTTGTGGCTGTGATCACCCTCACTGTGGCAGTTCTCTTCAAAGAAACGCGATGATCAAAGAAATGAAGAGGCACAGGGGCTGTCCGCGTGTGATCCTTTGTGCCCCTCACCACCATCCGTGCCCCCCTGCCCCCCTCACCCCGCCCCCCCCTTCCCCCTCACTCGAGCCTCTGAGTCCTCCGGTGTTTATTCATGTCTGACAGTGCCCGGCAAGTACTCTGCCTTGTCTGTCATCCCCCTTGGAGGTGCCCAGCAGAGTGTCGCTCACTCTGACTCGTTAGTGCACGTAACTCCCTCGAGCGCCCTCATCTTTCCTTTTGGCTGGAAAGTATTCCACCTTTTTTTAACTTGCAAAAATAAATAATTTTTTATGAAATGGTTGGACTCCAAAGGGTAGGATTTTTTTTTTTTTTTTTTTTTTTTTGCACATAGAACTGGGGTATAGGCCAGAGGATTCATAGAGACAGAGTGGGGAGCAGGACAGGCGGATCCACTGAAGTGCGCTGCTGAGGGGAGCAGCGGGGAGACAGGAGAGGTCTGCTGCCATGTGGGTCTGCCATGTGGATCAGTTCCCTGGCCGGGAATTGAACTCAGACCACAGTGACTGCCGATAGCTTCATAGTGCTGAGGCTTTATCCTCTGTGCCACCAGGGAGGCCTGACTGTTAACTTTTGGAGATGAGCTCTGGCCAGCCAGGGGCACCCTGCTTCCCAAGGCCTCCTGCCCTGGCACTGAGGCTCCAGGGGCCCGCCAGGAGCTGTCTCCCCGCCTTGGGTGGTGGCTATGAGGGACCAGAGGAAGAGCCCATCTGTGCCCCTTCCTCCCCGGGGTTGATGCTACCCCCAAGTGGCCTGCCAGCCCCGCGGGGGGAGGCCACTGTCCACTTCTCATCATGTGTCATTTGCTAACTAGAGAAAAAGCTCCTTGGGGCCTTGCGTCGTGGCGCAGCGGTTGAGCGCTGGGTTGTGAAGTTGCCCACAGCCTCTGCAGCGCCGGTTCCATCCCCAGCTGCCGGCGAGGGTCCCACATGGTGCGACAGACCTCTCCTGCCATGCCCGCTGCTCCCCTCAGCAGTGTATTTCGTCAGTCTGCCTGTTCTGTTCCCCACTCTGGCTCTGGTGAATTCTCTCGCCCTCCTGCGCTTCTGACTGTACCCAGTGCTTGTACAAATAAATAAATAAATCTTAAAAAAAAAAAAAAAGAATTGCAAAGTGTACACAAATGATCCTGAATGGGTAAGAAATGATAAGAAGTTCTCTAAATTAACTTCCGTATGAAAAAAATATATAAATATATATATATATAAAGAAAAGAAAAGAAAAGAAAAAGCTCCTTGGGCTGGGCCCGCTGTTGAGAGTCGATTATGCCGGGATTTTGTCAGCGGCTGTTAAGCTGAAACAGGCCATAATGGGGCTGGTTTTGTTAGGGGGAAATGATGTCCCGAGTTAATCCCATACAGGCTTTGCGGACTCCACCCCCACTCCAGACTAAAGCCATCAAGACTCTGGGAAAGACAAATCCCATCACCACCAAGGGAGGGTGGCTGGGACCTGAGGGTGAAGTTGGGCAGCCAGGTTGGATATAAAGAACCAAACAGTGGGCCTTGGGCTCTCTCTGGCTCGCAATCTCTCGCCTCCTGGCTTCACCGCTCCTGGCTGGCGGCCAACTCTGAGAGCGCCATTTTGGGATTCCTGATCGGCGGATCGGGTAGGACGCATTTAAAACTTTGTCTCCCACTTTTCTCCCAGAGCTGTACATTTCCTCATTTGCCCTTCCCTTGTCAATAAACCTTTTATGAACCTTTCGCGTGTGACTGCAGTAGAGCATTGAGAAGTCCTTTTAAGCGCGCGGGTGAGGACCCACAGTCAGGCACCCCGTTTTGTATCGGGGTTGCTCTACAACAGTTTCACCCCAGATACCGTCACAGGCTGCAAATCAGGCCCCTCTCCCAGAGCCAGTTTACCAGAACACCCCTGGCCGTAGGTGTCTTCGAATCCCCCAGAAGGGCTAGCCTCATCATTTCTAGATAGTAAATGCTCTAAATAAATGACTATTTTTAGCTAAGGAAAAATCTAATAACATACTTGTGGAAAACTCACATAGTTGCACATTCTGAAAAACAGTGGAACAGATCAGTGTACTTCTCCTGTGTTGTGGGGACCTCGGGCATCAGGAACAGAGGGGGGTGTCTTCACGTAACAGATGAGGGGGGTGACGTCATCCTGACTCAGCGTAAACGCAAGATTCTTAGAGAGAGGACGTGGTTACAATAAACGCCTTTTTAAATCGTCTGAGGAACACTGTCCTTGAGCAGGAACTTGATCCAGCCACTGTGAGTGCATTATCTCATTTAATCTTCACAACAGCTCAGAAGCTGGGGACTATTACTGTTTGCAGATGAGACACAGGCACACGCTGAGCAGGGAAGGGAGCAGGAATGTGCCTGAGGCGGACGGGGGAAGGTCCTACCCACCCAGGGCGGTGCCGACCAGCCTGCAGCAGGGAGTCTACCCTGGGCCCGGCCAGCAGCGGAGGGGTAAAAGGGCAAACCAAAAGGGCAAACCACTGGCGTTCTCGACACCCTTCCTACCACCACCCACTGTCACCTTGCCTTCACCTGCCTTCCTTACCCTCCCCACTTCCTTCTTCGTTATCTCCTCAGAATTAGGGCCAATTTTCAACTAGCCCTTTGACCCGCCATCCTCTCCAGCCCTCTTGGGCCTTCAGCTTGTCTCCAGGACTGTGGTGGGTGAAGAGTGCGCCCCTGGGAATATGTCAGGGTCCCCGGGGCCTGTGGCTGCCTTCGGGCACCTGTCCCCTCGCTGCAGGCCACCTGCTGACTGGGCCAGGGCTCCAACTGGGCGGCGGGGCAGCTCTGGACAGAAGCTCCCAAGGGCAGGCAGGACACCAGCTTTCTGTCTGCTCCCAGGACCCAGGACATGAGCACGGATGTGGTTGGTGCCAAGGCCTGTAATGGTGTCCCCCTAATTCTGTGTGCAGCCAGTGTTGGCATTCTCAGTGAAGACTCCCTTCCTTTTTGGTGGATGCTGCTCCGTGTTTGGGGACAGCACCGTGCCTGGCTTATGGTGAACAACGCGAGGAATGTTACTTTGGGCTGGTCAACCGCGGGTGTAACTTGGAAACCACGTTGGGCGCCAAACTGTTGTAGAGCAACCCTGATACAAAAAGGGGTGCCTGACTGTGGGTCCTCACCCGCGCGCTTAAAAGGACTTATCAATGCTCTACTGCAGGCACATACGAAAGGTTAATAAAAGGTTTATTGACAAGGGAAGGGGAAATGAGGAAATGTACAGCTCTGGAAGAAAAGTGGGAGACAAAGTTTTAAATGCGTCCTACCCGATCTGCCGACCAGGAATCCCAAAATGGCGCTCTGAGAGTTGGCCGCCAGCCAGGAGCCGTGAAGCCAGGAGGCGAGAGATCGCGAGCCAGAGAGACCCCAAGGCCCACGTGTTTGGTTTTTATATCCAACCTGGCTGCCCAACTCCGCCCTCAGGTCCCAGCCACCCTCCCTTAGGTGGTGATGGGATTTGTCTTTTCCAATGTCCTGATGGCTTTAGTCTGGAGTGGGGGTGGGGTCCACAAAGCCTGTATGGGATTAACTCAGGACATTATTTCCCCCTAACAACATCAGGGTGGCTTGGGCCCTTGGGAGTCATCTCCTGCCCTGAGGCGCCAGCCTTCCTGAAGGCGGGGTCCATCACTGCCAATTTGACATATAAAATGACATATAAAACGGGGGCTTTGTTTTAGACAAATGCTTCTCACCCAGAACTTCTTTTCCTTTGCCCATTCATCTTCTCGGCGTTCGCTGGCTTCCTGGACCTTCTGAAACCTTCAAGCGGCAAGAGAAATGCCCACTTCACTGTTTCCCTCCGTTCTTCTGGGTCCTGGTCAGTTGAAAGTCCCTCCGTGACTCTGGGATCCTGAGTAAGCAAGTGAACATCGGCTCATCCTCACTGCACAGCAGCCTGCAGGGGGTCTACTGAGCCCAGCAATGCACTGCTCTCTCCACTGCTGCTGCACGCAGTTGGGGCCACCTGTGGCCTGCAGGCCAGTGAACGTGAATACAAGTATGTCAGGTTAAAGTACTGAATAGCTGATGCTCAACTCTCCAGGCCCCTCCTTGCCTGCTGGCATGATCCAGAAGGTGCAAAGAGGCAGAGGAGCCTTTGTCGGAGGCTCTGTGGGCCATGTGGCAAGTACTCATTTCTGCTGTAGGTGCCCGTCAATACATAAGCATCCCAGGGTGCCAATAAAACTTTATTTAAAAAACAGGCAGCAGCCTGAGGGCTATAGTTGCCCCACTCCCAGCTACGCAGCTCCCAGCTGGGACTATCACTGCACTTTTCTTGAGGGCACTTTTCTTGAGCATCAGGGCAGCAATCTCATAAGACTAATTTTCATGGATAAAGAAAGTGATACTAACCACCCACCTCCCCTGCTACCAGGGCCTGGCCTGGCTTAGCTTCTCCCCTGCCCCCGGGGTCTCCAGACGATGCCCTGAAGGGTCCTTGCTAAGAATCTGCTTTCAACATAGCTCTGTGCTTGGGCTTGCACGTTCCTGTTTTGAAAAATTCCCTTCCTTCTCTTCCCTACCTACCTACCTAAATCCTTTCAGCTTCAGCTCTTCCTCCTCCAAGGAGCCTTCCTGGACTAACTCATTGGGACCCATAATGGCTACTTTGGATCAGAGCTGCTGTCTGAGGTCATGAAAAAGAGAAAAGAGACTCAGCCCCTTTGGGAACGAGCCATGTTGACGAGGGGGCTCTCCTGAGCTCACCCAGCAGCATTTGGCTACTGCACCTGGCGGAAAGGGGAGTTCAACCATCCGAGTCCATCTGTCACCCACTCGCACTGCTTGGAGATACTGGTTACACGGAGGATTAAATGACAAAGAAAAGCAAGGGAACGGTGAATGCAAATCTCTGGGGAGGAAGAGGAGCTCTGCATTAGGGGAGGGTCTTGGAGGGTATTCAAAGGAGGGTTTTAAATAGTCTGGGACTAGTTGGGTACACATTGGGTTAACAGGTGAATGTTAAAAAAAAAAAAAAGGTAGATCAGGTAGGAAGGTCGCCTCAAACCTTATAGTCAGGGGCAGCCAGAGCCAACCGGGTGAGGGAGCAGAGAGGCAGATCCGGGCAGATCAAATTCTCTCCCACAAGAGAAGTTCCAGGGACCCTGAGTCCATGTGGACAGAACCCCCCTCGGTGCTCTCTCTGCCCTCTCTCCCCACCCACCCGGGGGCAAAGACACAACCCTGATGTCTCTTTAAAAGGACTGCCAGGGACTCACCCACTGTGAGACACACCTGGCAACCGAGGCAGGGCTGGCACCTTATCACTGGGCTGGCAGGTACAGGACAGAACGCACAGGCCACTGGTGCTGCTTTTGGGGAAATGCCATCGACTCTGCTGGGAGCGGTCTGGCCTTTGTCCCTTGTGGGACATGTGACATTTGGTAAAAATGTAATCTGGTGTAAACCAGCATGAACTCATCCCCAGAGGACTGGCTTTGACCTTCTTGTACCTCCAACCACACAGACCAGCTTTTGTATCTTTCTGATACCCCGGAGAAGAAAGGTGGATTCCAGGGGCGGGCAGGGCTAGAAAGAAGAATGTGATCGTTAAGAGCACAGGCTCTGGGAGCAGAGGATGCCTTCAGATCTCAGCTCCGTGCGGAGCTGGCCGAGTGACCCTGGGCAAGTCACGCAACCTCTCTGACCCTGCTTCGGTCCTCTGTTATTTGGGGGTGAGCCCAGTCCCCACCTTACTGGGTTGTTGTATCGCATGAGGTCACCCATGCTGAGAATTTAGCACAGAGCTGGGTTCGTAGTGGAGTCTCAGGAGACACAAACTTCACTTCTCACAGAGGAGCAGTCCCCCCAGGCCCCCCAAGGTCTTTAAGGAAAGAGACTAGAGGAAAAGGAATACTTCCAAAGCAGCAAGCTCTGCTGAGTCCACAGCACAGTATAAGCAGCACACATTCGCAAAGGAAAGTCCTAGTGAAAATAGGTTGCATTAGGGTCTCCCTGGTGGCGCAAGGGGTTAAGACGCAACCTATAAACCTGTCCACAGCCACTGCAGCACGAGTTGGATCCCCGGCTGGGGAGCTACCCACAATGGCGCAGCAGACCTCTCCTGTCTCACCTGCTGCTCCCCTCAGCAGTGTATTTCAGTAGGTCCGCCTGTTCTGTTCCCCACTCTGTCTCTGGTGAATCACCTCTGGCCTGTACCCCAGTTCTTGTATGCATAAATAAATAAATCTTTAAAAAAAAAAAGGGCCTCCCTGGGGGCGCAGCAGTTGAGCGCTGGGCTGCAAAGCTGCCCGCAGCACAGGTTTAATCCCCGGCTGCTGGGTGAGGGTCCCCCATGGCGCGCAGACCTCTCCTGCCGCACCCCCTGCTCCCCTCAGCAGTGTACTTCGGTCCTTCTGCCTGCTCTGCTCCCCGCTCTGGCTCTGGTGAATCCTCTCACCCTCCTGCGCTTCTGACTGTACCCAGTGCTTGTATAAATAAATAAATAAATAAATAAATAAATAAATAAATAAATAAATCTTTACCAAAAAAATTTTTTTTTAAAGTTTTAAAAAAATAAAGAAAGAAAAAGAAAAGGAAAATAGTTTGCATTAAACGAACAAAAACTGACCAGAGCATCAAAATCCAGGCAAAGAGAAGGCACCAAGGCACCTGCCTGTGCTGGCCTCACCTCAGGGGGCTCGGTCCAGCGCTGCCTTCCCTTTCTCACCGGCATCCACCACGCATCCGCGTCCTTTCCCGTCTCCCTCCCCTTCTCTCAGCATCTTTCTGCTCCTCCTGGCTACCCAGTCCCTTTGTCCCGACATCTTGGAGCAACAGTAAGGGGGAGAAAGAAATTTCAAAGGAGAGCAGGAGAAAGGAGACTTGGGGATCCCGCGGATCTGCGCTCAGTGCTACCACGAATCAGTCAGGGCCTGTGTGACCTTGAGTGGGTTCCTCACCCTTCTGAGCCTCAGGCCTATTGGCACATCCGGGAAGATGTGCAGAGGTGAGCAAAGTTCCACAGGGCACCTGTGCGCGGTGGTCTGCGCCACCTGGGCCTCCAGTTCCCTCTCTCAGCCTTGCTGCATGCTTGGGTTGGGAGAGGAAGGACGGGGAGAGGAATGGGAATCTAAGGCGCTGCAGAGATGGGGGCGGGAACAGCAGCTCTACCCAACCCCCTGCAGCCACCACCACCCTAGCCAGCCAGTGCCCTCCTGCCCTCCTCAGGGGCTCACTCCCTTTCAAGCCCCGGTGGAAACCCCGGCCTGCTGGCTCTTGTTCGGTTGGAACACAGCGTGGAGGAAGGCGGCGTGATGTAATGGGGAGCCTCCCGGCCTGGAGCTAGAGGAGGCCTCACGCCACCCTGTCGTTACTACGGCCTTGGGTAGGCGCGGCCCCTCCTGCAGCCTTCGCTGCCTCCCTTGCAAAAGGGGGTGGAGGGCAGCTGAGGCCTGAAAAGAGCTCACAGACAGTAAGCCGCAGGAAGGTGCCCAGCTCCCAGCTGCGCGGGCAAGCGGCAGATATCTGTGGGCTGCTGTGCCCGGCTCAGCTCCGCCCGGCGCTTGGGCCTTGTATACAAGCCCAGAGGAAACATTCAGAAAGTTGTTTCTCTTCTGAGTTGCTGCATCATCACTGGTTCTTGGCCTCCACCGCTGACGCAGGAGGACTTACTTCCTGCTGAGGGTACCACTGCGTTTTATTTGTTATTAATGGGCATGTTTTTATTGCTCTGCTTTACCTGCCCCACATTGTCCTCTCAGATTAAAATAATAATACGTTCAGATAATGATACCTTGCTCTTGAGGAGCTGCTTTCATCCTCATGGCTCACAGCGCTCTACAAACATGACCTCATTCATTCATCCTGAGCTGGGGGCGGGCACTGCTGGCTCTCCAGGCCCATTCATCTCCAATCGGCTTCTCAGAAGTCCGGAAGGAGTGAGCATTATCCACGGCTCACCACCACAAAGCCCCACGGAGCTGCACCGCGCTCCCTCGCCCAGTCTCAAGGGACCGTACGCCCACAGAAGATGACCAGACCTGAGTCCTTCGGCTCAGGGACCTTGTCTCCCAGGCCTCTCTGAGGTCCTCACAGCTGTGCCCTGTGAAAGGTTAAAGAAACCTTTGGGGCGCAGGAGACAGCGGGTTTGGCATTACGGGCATCTCCAGGGCCCTTGTCTTCCTTGAGAACTTGCTCATTGAGACCCAGGCGCTCCCGCGGCCTGACGAGCCTCTGCCAGGGAGAGGTTACCACTCACGGCCCTGGCATGTTGGACGCCTGTACGCACTTGTGGAAACTGGAACACCCCGTGATGACGGTGCTTCCTCCTTCTGGGGCTCCCTGGCCGTGTAGGCTGCTGGCGCCTCACTTTTGTTTTCACCTTGCAATTACTGGAAGGGCAGGGCGGCAAGGTGCGCTGGACTCCCCGGCCGGCCACACTCTGGGCCCCGGTGAGCAGCTGTGGCGAGAGGAGACAGCGGGTCTCAGCAGGCAGAATGCTGACTCCAGCCCCTGCCGAATAAACAAACAAACAAAACGGGGTACTCCTACTCGTGCCCCAGGCTGTTTTCCTTCAGCCCATAAACACTGGGTGTGTCCTTCCTTATTTGCATAATTTTTAAAAATACAGCCCAGCTTTCTAGTGGGAGAGTTCGCTTCACTCTAGACAACATCAAAACACAGCCGCGTTGCAGGGCCTGGTGTCCTGCACACCCAGCCAGCTCAATACACTCTGTGCCTGGGGCTTCAGCTTCAAAACCTGGGGGGTTTATCGGAAACAGAAACTCTACCAGTGACTCCCCAGCAGGATTCACCTTCCCGGCCTCCCCAGCTCCTTCCTCCCTCGGCCTGGAGCTCCTCTCCCGCCCCCACAGCTCCCAGAGCAGCCTGGAAGGTCAGATCCTAGCCCAGGAGGAGGTGGACACTCAGCCTGCAAACGTGACGTGGCCGTGAGCCGCCTCTGCGTGTCCATGTCTGGGGGTGGGGGGCAGCACCTGCGCGCAACCCCCTCCCTCCCTCTCTCGCCCCCCCTTTTTTTTTCAGGCTGCAGAAATGAGAGCTTGAGTTGGGGCAACTGATGCAAGAAAAAAAAGCCCAGCCTGGGTGTGGGTGCCTGAGGGCGCCTCCCCCTTGCAGCCCTACCCGGCACGCGTGCGCCCCGTCTGCACGGCTTCGGGGTGCACCGCTCTGTGCCCGGGGGCCCGGGCGGGGCCGGGGCGCGGGGGGCGCTGCGCGTCCACGGGGCCGCTAGAAAGCGGGAAGGAGCCCCGCTTCGAGGCCGGAGCAGCCGCAGGGGCTCCGCCGCCTGTGCCTCGGCGCTCCGGCTCTGGGGGTGACCGCGGCCCCCGGAGGAAGTGAGTCAGCGCCGCCCCGCCCCGCCCCGCTCCCCCAGCTGAGGCGCCCGCGTCCATGAAGCAATGAATGGACGGGGCCCCGCCCCCGCCCCCCGCCGCGGCCCCGGGCCAATCAGCGGGCGCCCCCGGCCTCGGGCCGCGTTCAAACCGGCGCCGGCTCGGCCAATCGGCGCGCGCGGCCCCGCCCCCGGCGGCGCGGCGCGGCCAACCGCGAGCGCGGACGGGCCACAACACGCGGCCGGCCAATGCGGGGGCCCCGCGCGCCGGCGCGGCCAATGGGCGCGGCCCGGCCGGGAGCGCCGCGGGGCGGGGCCGCCGCAGGGTTCGCGGCGGGCGTGCGGCGGGGCGGGCGGCCGGCGGCGCGGGCCAATCAGCGGCGGCGCCGGCCGGAACGTTGGGCGCGCCCCGCCCGCCTGTTGTTTGTGGCGCCGCGGCCGCGGGGCCGGGCCGGGCCGCGATCTCGCCGGGCGGCGGCGGGCGGGGGGCGGGCGGCGGCGGGGCGGGCGCGGAGGGCGGCGGGCCGCGGCCGCCGGAGCCATGTCGGGGAACACGGACGAGCTGCGGCACCAGGTCATGATCAACCAGTTCGTGCTGGCCGCGGGCTGCGCGGCCGACCAGGCGAAGCAGCTGCTGCAGGCCGCGCACTGGCAGTTCGAGGTGGGGCCGGGGGCGCGGGCGGGGGCCGGGGGCGCGGGGGGCCGGGGGCGCGGGCGGGGCGCGGGGGCGCGGGCGGGGGGCGCGGGCGGGGGGCGCGGGCGGGGGCCGGGGGCGCGGGCGGGGCGCGGGCGGGGCGGGCGGGGCGCGGGGGGCGCGGGCGGGGCCGGGGGCGCGGGGCGGGCGGCGGGGCCGGGGGCGGGGCCGGGGCGGGGGCGGGCGGGGGCGGCCCGCGCCCACTGACCGCCGCGTTGTCCGCAGACCGCCCTGAGCGCCTTCTTCCAGGAGACCAGCGTGCCCGGCGGCGCCCACCCGCCGCAGATGGTAAGCGCCGGCGTGACAGCCATGTTGCCGGGAGGCCGCCCGCGGATGTAAACAAAGAGCCAAAATGTCTTCCAGGAAAGGCCGGCCGGGCCGCCGCTCCCCCGCCCGGCCCGGGAGGGGCTCGCGCCCGCCGGGGGCGCCGGGGGAGGCGCCCCGACCCGGCCCCGGAGTGGGGGTGCTCCAGGGAGCCGCCTCGCCCGGGGCAGCCTTGACCCCTCACCCCCCGGAAGCCGGCGCCGCGGGGAGCGGGGAAGGCCCGGGGACCGGCCCCCCAGCGCGGTGCGCCCCCCTTTCCTGGTCGTGGGAAAAGGACAGGCCCGAGCGCGGAGGCGCGAGCTGGGGGAGACGCTGAGAATTCGCCTTTATCTCGGGAGTGAGGAGGCCCAGGCAGGGCCCGGCGGGCCGGGGGGGGGGGGGGGGGGCTGACCCCAGGCCTGGGCCCGGCGGGGCGACCCTGCTGCCTGCGAGGCCGGCCAGCCTCCCCCTCCCCGGAGAGGCGCGTCCTCTCCCCCGCGTCACCCATGCCGGGGCAAGTGTAGAGCTTTATTCCCGGGAGGTCCGTGTGGCCTCCGGAGCGCATTTTTGGCATTTTTACCACTCGGTGTCCTGCCCATGGCTCCTCAGAGCGCCCGGGGAGCTGCAGGTGGCCCCCCGGCTCATCCCCAGGACTCTGTTTACAGCAGATGGCAAAGGACGGCAAGAGGGGTCTGCGCGGCCTGGTTAGCCGCCCCGGCTCCTGCTGCCTCTAAGACAGAACGACAGCGCCTTGGCTGAGGGAGGCTGGGAGCCGTGCTCGCCCTGGGGCCTGGCTCCGCTGGCCGCAGGAGTCTGGGCACCCCCTGCTCCTCCTGTGTTTGAACTGGGACCGGCCCTGCCTCTATCCCCTGAGAGAGCCTGGGGGTTCGCTCCACCGCCCGGCCTTTAAAGGCCAGGAGGAGCTGGGACAGCTGCTGGCCCATTAGGCCCTGCTCCCTCCTGGCTGCAGGTCCCCAGGCGCTCTAATCCTCTGGAAGCCACCCTCAAGGCAGGCGGGGCGGGTTTGGTTACACTCGGGTGGTGTGCCCTCCCCCGGGACTTCCTCAGCGCAGCGGAGGGGCCATCCCTGTCCAGGGACCGTGGATGGTTGTCCCTGGAAGGTCACTGCTCACACAGTGGCCTTCACCTCAGCAGAGGGCTCCTGAGTTGGCCTGGGGGGGACCCGAAAAAGAGAGGGCCTGTGTGGCCTGGGAGGGCAGGGTGCGGTGGGCGCCGGGAGGCTCGGGCACAGGGAACCTCCAGCAGGACCCTGGGCGCGGCAGGTCCCAGCCCTGACTGCAGCACAGAGAGGAGGTCGGGAGGTTGACGCCCTTGCCCGAGCCCACGGGCAGGTGAGCCGGGGTGAGGAGACAGGCCTCGCTCGCCTTGTGAACTGGGGAAGTGGGTCACGATGCTGTGATGCAATGGCCTCTGCCCCCACCCCACCCCCGTTCATTGTTTCCTGCTGCCGAGAAGTCAGCCTGGGAAGGGGGTAGTGGAGGGAGGAGGAAAAGGGCCTGCCTGGGTGGGGCCAGGCCGGCGGCCCTGAGTCCAGGAAGCCTCGGCCCTGAGGAAGACTCTGGTCGGCTCCCTGGCTCCTGACGGTGCCCGGCCGGCTAGCAGGGGAGCGCCCCTCCCCTTGCAGGGTCTCCTCCCCATTTTCAGCTGGGGTGTAACTGCGGAGCTGTGAGGGGTCCCTCTTGCCAGGGGAAGCGCCCTCCAGTCTTGCCCTGCCCTGCGTCCCCCCTGCCAGGGGGAGGGGCAGGTGTTGCTAAAATTAGGAGAAATTCAAAGAAGGACTCGCGCTGCCCGAGGCTGCGAGTGGTCAGAGCAGCTTTGTGCCCGTCTTGCGGTCGGCTCCCGCTGCCCGCGCCCTGGTGGGGCTCTCCTGGGGGGCACGCCCCTCCCGCCTGCTGCCGGGCCCAGGGACGGCCTGTAGTCTCTGGTGGGCCCAGGGAGAGGGCCAGTTACAGGACAGCACCGCGTCTCAGCCGCTGCCCTTCCTGGGTGGGCTCCCCGCTCAGGAAGAGCCAGAGCAGCGAGCACGTTTGGGGTTCCCTCCCCTCCCCGGGCTAGTGGCAGAAGATCCCACGGGTTGCGATGTTCGTGACTCTCCCCGGGGCTGGAAAACAGACGCTGGGGAGGGGGTTATGCTGGGAACACAGGAAATTGAAGTCCTGGGTTTGTGGGGAGCCCCGGCGTGACGTTGCACTCTGCTGGAAGCAGGGGCGGGGGGCTGCACCTGGGGTGCAGCGTGACGGGGGTCCTGGACCTCGTTCCCTCCTGTGTCACCTGGAATGGGCTGTGGAGGCAGCCCGGGGTGGTCGTGGGAGCCAGTGAGGACAGAGGCTGCTGGCGCAGGCCCGTCCGGGGGGATGAACCCAGGCCCCCGGAGAGTGCAGTTTCGCTGAGGTTGGCCTTGGAGGGGGGACCCTGGATCTGGCTGCCTGCCCTGGACCAGCAGCCTCGGAGCGCTGGAGGGCGGATTATGGAGAGAGCCGGCTGGTTCTTCCCCTGGGGTGTCCTGGGCTGCTCCCTGGTGCTGTTTCCATCCGACACCCTCGCTTTCTGCTCGCCGTTACCTGTTTCCCGGCGCCCGCGGCTCGGGGTTGTCCTTGTTTTTTTGTTTTTGTTGGGTTGGGGGGAGACCGATGTTGTTCTACTGAAGTCGTGTGGGGGCTGAAGAGGGGGCTTGAAGGTGGGGCCGGCCTGGGGGAGATCCCCTCCCCGCCGGCTCTGCTGGTCCCCCGGGGCGGCCCGCCTGACACCTGTGTTCTCTCCCAGCAGATGTGCACCCCCAGCAACACCCCTGCCACCCCGCCCAACTTCCCCGACGCGCTGGCCATGTTCTCCAAGCTTCGTGCCTCCGAGGGCCTGCAAAGCAGCAACAGTCCCATGACGGCCGCGGCCTGCTCCCCACCCGCCAACTTCAGCCCCTTCTGGGCCTCGTCCCCGCCCGGCCACCAGGCTGCCTGGATCCCACCCTCCTCCCCGACGGCCCACAGCTTCCACCACCTGCACCACCCACAGCCCACGTGGCCCCCCGGAGCACAGCAGGGGGGCGCCCAGCAGAAAGCCATGGCTGCCATGGACGGCCAGAGATGAGACTGGACGCCGCTGGGCGCGGGGCCGGAGCTGGGGGCAGCCGGGGTCGTGGGGCCGGGGCGGGGGGCCGGGCGGGTGGGGGTTTCCTGAAGATGGCACTGGAAGATTTTATAAAAGAGTTTTTGTGGGCAGCAGGGGCGGGGGGAGGACAGTAAACTTCCTGAGCCACTTGGGTCCTTCAGGAGTTGCTCTTCAGGCAAGTTTTTTCCTCTTTTTAATATATAACGATAATATATGCGGATCTATAAAGACGACTCGTGTATGTGAGCGGGGGCTGCCTGACCTTGGGGGCTGGCGGTGGCCCGGGAAAGCCAGCGCCGCTTCACCCCACTCCCCTCCCCTCCTGGAAGGGGGGCCCGCCGCTGCCCCTGGCCAGGGCCCGCCTGCCGGCGGAGGGGTGGGCACCGCTGCCCGTGCGAGGCGCTCCCTGCCCCAGAGGCCGGCTGCTCGGTGACCACGGGCCCGTCACCTCTGGGTGCCGCCGTCTCGATGGGTGCACAGGGCCAGTGGGAGCGGCGAGCCAGCCCGAGGCAAGGCCCCCCTGCACGTGTCCAGGGCCTGGCGGGCAGCGGGGGGGGGGGGGGGTGTTGCCCCCGACTGAGCTCACCAGGCCACATTTTCATGTAAAAACAAAAACCTTTCCTCACCTCCCTGGCTTCGGGTGCCTTTGTCTCCCCGTGGGCAAACCCGGGGCAGGCGCGGGCGCTGTGGCCGGCGCGCTGTTCAGGGCCGGGGCTGGCGGGACGGCCGGGTGCAGGTGAGGCGGGCGGGCACTCGCTTGGCTTCTGTGCCCATCCCGGCCTTGCTTCCCCCCCCCCCCCCCCCGCTCTTCCTGCCCACGGCCTCCCTCCTGGCAGCGAGCTGGGGGGCGTACAGGGCTAGAGATGCCCAGGGTGCCACCGGGGGCGTGGTGGGTCCCCAGAGGGACCTGCTTCCATCTCCTGCCGGCCGCGTCCAGGCTCCGGGCGTCAGAGCAGGGGTCTGGGCGAGAGGCGGCCCCTCCGTGCATCCTCTCCCCCGCCCTCCACCCAGGGTGCCACAGCGGGTGCTGGGGGGGTGCACAGGGTCTGGAGGTCAGGCCCCTTGGGGAGCCCTGCCTGGTGAGCCAGCCCTGGGCCTTCTCGGGGCCCGGGGTTTGCCGGCGGGGCGCCGTGGGAGCGCGGGGAGCATGGCTGCCTCCGTGCCCTGGCACGCGGTGGTGCCCCTGCCTGTGCCGTCCTTGGGCGTCTTTGTCCTTTCAGTTTTGTTTTCTGCCTTGAAACCCAGGAGGTGCCTCCTGCCCGGCCCCTGGCCCGCTGTGCTTTCCCCGCGGGAAGGGGGAGCCCCTCTGCCCAGCAGGTGTGGGGCTGGGGGGTCGCCGGGCCCCGGGGGAGTGTGGCCCCTGGCCTTGGCACGCCGCCCCCCTGCCGAGCTGGCGAGGCCGGCCAGGGACGCAGAGGGAGCGGCCACCTGACCTTTCCTGGCGGGTGCGAGAAAGGGGAGCCCGAGCAGCTGGGGGGAGGGGCCGGCCTGGCCTGGCTTTGCCTCCCGGAGAAAAGAGCACCCCGGGGCCCCCACCGCGCCTCCCCCACCCGGCCGGAGCGCTGGTTCACAGGGAGGTGAAGGGGCGCGCGGCCGCTGGGGAGGACGGGGAAGCACCTCGTGTCGCGGCCCAGCCAGCCCCGCCCGGCCCTGCCCGCAGGATGGGGAGAAAACCCTCTCGGGGCTGCCACCCGCCCTGCTCTTCCTTCCTGTGTGACTGTGTCACCTCAGCTGGCCCTTTCCCATGTTGGGGGAAGGCTGGGGGTGGGGGGAGCCCCGTCTTTGTGCCCGGACGCGGACGCTTCCCTCTGACGCCCCAGCGGGTGAGAACACACCTGAAGGCAGAAAACTGCTCCTCGGGCTTTCTGGGCCGCGGGGCGGGGGTGGGGCTCGTCCCTGCAGCGGCTGTGCCCTCTGAGCCCGGCCCGGCTCCTGCCGCCTGCCAAGCTCTGGGACCATGGGGGGGTGACAGCACCAAGCTCTGGGACCATGGGGGGGACAGCACGAGCGCTAAGCACATGGCGCTCCGCGAGGGGCCTCCCCGCGGGCACGCTCCCACGCCTGCCCCCTCCCCTGCCCTCCTGACTTCTGCCTCGGCTTCCTGGAGAGCGGCGGGGGACAGGTCAGCCTTGCCCGTCAGCCCCACGTCAGGCCCCCTCCTGCCTTGCAGCAGCCACCCGAAGATCAGCTGGCACCCCACCTTCCCAGGCGGCCGGTGGTGGTGCTCCCCGGAAGCCATGCCAGGAGCTGGGAACTGCTGAGTCGGCAGTGGGGCGGCAGCCAGCAGCTGGCACCTGCACCCTCACCTGCCCTCCAGGATACAGCGGAGGCCGTGTGCTTGGCCCCGAGGCCCCAGAGGCCAGGGGCCACCCTTTAGGCTGGTCTCCCCAGAGCGGGAGGCAGGGCCAGGCCCGGGGAGACGGCGATACTGGCTGAGGTCGTGGACCTGAGGTCTGGCCTGTGCTACCGCCTCCTGCACCCTGGGTGCAGCACGCAGCCCAGCACCCTCTGGAGGGCACCATCTAATTCTCAGGCTGGAAAACAGCCTGGGGCCCGCCTCGGCCCCCAGCAGCGCCTCCTTCCTCCCCGCTCTTGAGCCGGGCCCAGGAAGCCTCACCAGCCGGAGCTTCGCAATGTTTATTTATAGCTCTGCTCCGTCAGCGGCCCGGACCGCGGGCCCCGGGTGGGCTCCTCGAGCCCCTCCCCAGGAGGCACGTCCACATGCAGCCCCTCGGGCAGGCTCCCCGCCTCGCTGGGGCTGGACTGGCGGGCGGTGTTCGGCTGGGAGAGGCGGCCCTCGGAGGACAGCGGCCTGTCTTTCCGCTGACTCGGGGGAGCTGTGAGACAGGAGGGCGACACGGCTCTGCCTTGCCCCCCACGCCCCCAGCAGCCTAAAGCCAGGGGGAGCCCGGCCTGCAGCAAGGGGAGCCCCTCACACTCCACAGACAAGCACGCTGTCGGGGCCGCCGGCCTTGGGGCTGTTGGCTCTGCCGGGGGGCCTGTTCGGCAGCGTTCACACAGACAGCGCAGACCTTCCCTACGGCACCCTCCCCGCTCCTGCCCTGGGCGTGGACTGTGGCGTGCTGGGGGGCAGGAAGCTAAGCACCCCGAGAACATGTCCCGGGAGCCAGGCTCACAGGCCCGTGCCTCTACCCTCCACTGAAACCCTCTCTCTGGGCCCGCTGCCCTTGGTTTCCAGCCCTGGCAGCTGGGCACTGAATTCCAGCTCTAGCTGTGTGACCCTGGCCAGGTTCCTTAACCTCTCTGGGCCCTGGTCGTCTGAGCTGTAAGCCCGGCTACGAGGCCCTGCCTCTGAGTGCTGGCATGAGGACAGCTGGCTGGCACATGATAAAGCCCCTCCAATAAAGGTGCGGCGCGTGACCTTCAGCAGCACGTCACGCCTGCTGTTGCCCTGCCCCCGGGCTCTCACTGAGTGTGGAACTGGGGGTGCAGAGCCCCTAGGGGTGGGGCCACTGCAGTGTTACAGGAGGGCCACACCTCCCCACAGATGCTGGGGGCTGGCTCCGAGCAGCACTAACCCAGCACTAACCCCTAGTGACACGTGAGGGGAGGGCCAGACTTTTCACACTCGCTTGGAAGTGGCCGGGGCACCCCCCACAGGCCGGCGTCCCTGCCTGGCCCCCACGTGTGACTGGGTCCTGGGGCTGCAGTGCCCTGCCTTCAGGCAGGATTCAGTTCCTGGGGGTCAGATCGGGCTCGGAGGCGGGGAGGTGTCCCTCGCAGACAGTGGCCCGGGGCCTGGGGCAAGGCTGGGGGCCAGCAGCGGCAGGACATGGGCAGGGTGGCCGGAACCTGGGGCTGGAGCCGCCTGTTTCTACCGTGGGGCATCGTGGCCTCCGCCCAGCAGACCAGCGCCAGCAGGCCCTCGAGTTGCCGCGGGTCTCTCCCTCTCCCCGGGGCCCCAGCCTTCCACTCCTGACTCTCTCCCAGCAAGTAAGGGTCACACCAGGTCGCAGCGGGGCCAGGGCCGGGGCCGGGGCGGGTGGCAGAGCCCGGGCCGGGCGCGCAGGTACCTGAGTTGTCTCCAGGCAGCATCTGCGCACTCTGGGGCCGCAAGGGCAGCTGGCTGTGCTCTCGGAGGGACTGCTGGCGCTGCGGGTGCAGCCGGGACGGCTTGGCCTTCTTCGTCATCCCTGGGGACCACGGGGACGGTCAGCTCAGAGATGCCAAGTGAGAGCTGGTGGGGGCGCCGTGGGGATGGGTAGAGGGTGCTCACAGCCAGCCTCATGGGGGGCCCCTTGTCAGCGCTCATCACCCATATGTCCACCCGTCCGCCCACCTCCACTGCGCTGTGGGGACAGCTCACACAGGCCGGGGCCGGGCGGGTGCTGACCCCACGTGTGCGGTTCCCAGGGGAAGGCTGCCCAGCACACCCCAGGTCCGGCTAGCAGTGGGTGTTCAGGGGAACCACTGGGGGATGCCTTCCGCAGGGGGCTTAGTGGAGGGTGTTTTGAGTTTTGGGGTGGGGCTTGGCTGAGGTGAGGCTGGGACGTGGCTGAGGCAGGGAGGCAGGCTAGGGGCATCTGAGTGGGAGATCAGTAAGAAGAGGGCCCCCGACACCCCAACCAAGGCTGAACGTCTGTCCTCCACCGGCAGGTGTTTGCAGGGGGCGCTTGGAGACCCAAACCAGGAGAAGAGGAGGTGGCCAGGCCTGCCAGGAGGCAGAGGGGCATGTGGGATCTGTGCAGGAAGTTGGGGGGGGGGCCTCTCAACTCCTTGATACTCACTGTCCTTGCTCAGGACGCCTGGCAGCCTCGTAGCCATCCGTCCCTTGTAGATGTGTCCATCCAGGCCCAAGATGTCCACCTCGTCGTGCTGTGGAGGCGCCAAATCTGTCACCCTGGGTGCTCAGAACTCTCTCCTCCCCGCCCTCCTCGAGGGGTCAGGTCCAGGCCCCTCCCGACTGCCCTGGGGGCTGGGGCGGGGTGGGGGGGGGGGGGGGGGGGGGTGGGGGGGGTGCAGAGCACAGGGAGCAGCCAAGTAAAAGCCTGAGGCTCAACTAGGTCCTCAGAGGCAAGGGCCCGTGGCCGCCAGTGCTTCTTCCAGAACACTTGAGAAGCGGGGTCGCATCAGGGCCCTCCTCCCCGCACCCCAGGCCCCCACCTTCATGGCAATCTGGATCTCCTCGGTGGGGTACAGGCCCTGGGGCAGGTGCTGCAGGCGGTTGCGGCGATAGGGATAGGTGAGGGTGTGGCTGCCCCCGCAGCGCCGGGGCACCGTGGAGTAGGTGTAATCGGACATGTCTGGCACCCTGCTGCCAGGACAGCGGGGTCACCCGAGCAGGTGCTGCAGGGACAGCCCTGTGCTGGGGCCCGGCCGGAGGGGGCAGGGCTGCTCTCTGCAGGGTCTGTGGGAGCTGGGGTAGGGAAGCGGCCCGGGAGCTGGGGTTGAGGGGAGCACTGCCCACAGGGCATCCCGAAGACCACGGCACACACAGCACGCACACGCCTCACACACCCACACACATGTTCACACACGCCCACGTGTCCTCACGCCAGCGCACACGCACCCTCCAGGCTTCCTGCGGTGGGAGGGTGGCCTCCCGCCGAGGCCCGGGCTGCATGGCCCTACCGTTTGTAGCAGGGGGCGCTGGGGCACTGGGCCTGCAGCAGCTCACGGATCATCTGGCTGTTGGCCTTGACCGAGCCCCCAAAGTGGACCTGCACCTTCTCGATGTCCATCAGCATCTTGGAGTGCATGGTGCGCAGCCGCCCCACGCTCCGCTCCATCTGCCCCAGGTCGCCCCGCGGGAAGGAGCTGCCCAGCTTCAGGCTGCTGGACAAGGGTGGGCAGAGGCGTAAGGCGGGCGGGGGCCGAGCCACTCGCAGACAAAACCCTGTGCTGCACCCCAGTAACCACCCCTTTTTAAGCAGAATCAATGAGGCAGGAGCCCTTTCCACAGCACCCAGGGGGCCGAGGGCAAACTTCCAGGGAAGGGTCCAGAGCTGGGAAAATGGCCAGAGCTGGGAAGTGGTTCCCAGTGGCTCGAGCAGCCCTGGGCCCCGGCTGGAAGGAGGGGAGTCCCTAGAGGGAGCCCGTGGGGCAGGCGCTGCCCATACTTGCGGCTCTGCTGCCGGATCTGCTCCAGTTCAAAGACGGTGTAGGGGCGGGTGGAGCGGTGGCCAGGCAGGCCCGGGCCCACGGGAGTCACAGGGATGATTCTGGGCACGGACAGAGAGGGGGAGGGCCAGGTGGGCGGGATGCGGGCTGAGAAGCAGGGCAGGGTCGGGAACGAACCAGGGGGGAGGGGGAGAAGACATGGAGGCAGGAGGGAATGGAGGCCCGTGTGGGTGCCCGGCCCCACGATGCCACTCACTGTCCGGTCACGGGTGTCTCCAGGGGCCGGTCACAGGAGAGGCAGTGGAAGTGGACCAGCAGCTGCCTGTTTGGAATGGCATCACGAGGGTGAGCACCCTCCTGGGGGTCTGGAGCGAGCGACACGGGGAAGCCCGAGGGCTGGGCTTCCGCAGGCCGGGCCGGCCGGGAGCTTGGCTCTCTGGCCACTGAGGCCCGGCGGGCCTGCTCCCAGGCCCGGCTGCTCCTGGGCACGCCTGCTTCCGGGCACACTTGCAGAGCCCACCTGTCCTACCCAAGCCCAAGAGGCAGGTTCCTAAGGGCCTGGGGCGGGGCCGGGGGAGGGGAGGGGGGCCGCATAAGCCTCGGGGGCCCTCTGGCGGCCACGAGTGGAAATCCTGGGGTTCAAGCCAGGCCAGGTCCTCCAGGACTTCACGGGACCCCTCAGGGCACCACCTGCCTCAGCCGGCCCTCACCTGCGCATGGCGGCGGCCTCGTCCGCCTGGTAGAGTGGGGAGCGCTCCTTGAGCTGCTGCCGCAGCGACTTCCAGCGGTCCTCCAGGAGCTGCTTCACCGGGTCCAGCTCCAGGCGGTCCAGCTGCAGGGTGGGAGGGCAGGCGGGGGCAGGCAAGCTCTGAGAAGGCCGTGGGGGCAGCAGTGCCCGCAGAGGATGGCGCTGCCCCAGCCCGGGGGCCCAGGAGGGCCCTTCTGCCCCCACCTTGCTGTCCATTTCTAGCAGGAGTTTGTCCACCATCTTCTGCCAGTCCTGCTCCTGCCCGCTCATCTTGGCCACCAGCTCCTGCATCATGTGGTTCAGCTGCTCCGTGGTGGCATCAAACTGGACACGGCTCACCTTGGCCGCCAGGGCACTCTTGTCGGCTTTCTGCCAGGGAGAGAGAGGAGGTGGCACCCCCGTGGGAGAGAGCTGGGGAGGGCCCCCGCTCCCGTCACCCCCTCCACTTCCGGCCTGCAGGGAAGGGTCAGTGAGGCCCCAGCCCCCGCCCGAACCTTACCACGTCGATCTCCATCTCCAGGTGCTCCCTGTTGGCCTTTTCCCGCTCCAGTTTCTCGATGCCCTGGTACAGCACCTGGCAGAGAGCAGGGACTAAAGAGCAGGGAAGGGAGAGCAGGGGGGCGCCGTACCCCCACCCCGGGCCTCACGTCGATGTCCTTCTGCTTCTGGCGGTGGTCCTCGATGAGGCTGCTGGTGGTGATGTTGAGCTTCTCACAGTCGCCCTGCACCTGCAGGATGGCGCTCTGGACGTGGCCCAGCAGCTCTTCATCCTGAGAGAGACAGGAGGAGGCTCCCCAGGCTGCTGCTCACCCCCCGGGATGGCTGCTTCCTTCGTAAGTCGGTAATTATGGCATCAGAGGGCATAGAAGCCAACGTCAGACGCCGTCTGGCTCTCGTAGACCCCACAGCTGCCGCCGACAGTGAGGAAGACTCACCGCCCGGGTCCACCTGCCGGGACGACTCCGGCCCCACCTCCCTAAGAACTAGGCCCCGGGACGCCTGCAGGGGTGTCACAGGGGCACGGCCACCTGCCCTGAGGGCCCTGCTTCAGGTTGAGTCTGAGTTCCGGACCCCAGGCCCTAAGACAGGGGCTCTCCCTGCCAGTCAGAGGGGAGTCGGGAGGGCCTGGGAGACTCCTGAAGGGGTCTTTTGGATGCCAGTCCCAAAGCTGCCAGGAGGGGCATGGTCCCCAGGGGCACAGGAAGCTCGGGGAGAACTTGCAGGCGCTCGGGCCAGCCTGACCCCGGCCACACCGCTGTGTCCCCGTGCACGTCAGTGCCCATGCCCCGAGGCCCCCACTGGCACGGCTCCCCCCCGGCCACCCCACAGAGCCAGCTCTGCCACGGTCCTGGCGTCGCCCAACAGCGGGACCAGGGATGACTGTGTGTCCCTCCAGGGCTCCACCATGGAACATGGACCCCTGGTCCCCTCCCTGGGGGCGCACTCAGCCACCCCTCTCTGTGGGCTCGGCCCCTGCGGGGCCCGTGTGGCTGTACCAGGAGGGCGGGGCTCACCTGGCTCTGCAGCTTGGCTTTCTTGGAGGGCCGGGAGGCCGCCAGGTTGTTGACCATGTCCTGCAGCTGCTCGTAGCGCTGCACCAGCGTGCTGACCTGGTGGCCCAGGTCCAGGCTGCAGGCCGGGCAGGTAGCCTCCGGGGTGAGCTCGCCCGGAGCTTGGGTGATCAAGGTCTTTTGCGGAACCATGCTCATGGACAGCAGCGTGGAGGAGGAGGCCAGCATGTTCTCGATGATCGCCCTGAGCTTGTCCAACTGGGTATGGCGAGAAGGCAGGCGAGGCGGTGAGTGGGGCCCGACCACGTTCCGCCCACGCAGTCAGTGCCAGCGCCCGCTGTGTCCCTCCCCTGCCGGGGTGCAGGCAGCCAACCCCCCTGTGCCCTCAGCCGCGTGGCCCGTAGGAGCAGCTGGCCTTGTGCCAACCCACAGTGCAGTGTTCCAGGGAGGGGCGTGTGAAGGGAGCCCTTGCAGGAGTTGAGTGTGAGCACACATCTTCCCCAGCTAAATTCCAGGGGGGTGCTGTCCACTGGTCAGTCCACAAACCCTCAGAGGACCCTGATGCCCCTACAGGTATCACTCCAGGCTCAGAGCCGCGGGGAGGTGAAGGGGTGGCCCCCAGGCTCTGTCCCCATTTAACTTGTGATGACCAGCCCCAGGACGGGAGCAGGCTCCTCCCACTGGTCCGGGAGCTCAGAGGCCACAGGATGGGGTGGGCTCCAGGACACCCAGTGCTGGGACTGGCCCAGACAGAGGGGCTGGGCCACCCAAGGCCGAGCTCTTGGAAGTAAGAGGAGCGGGAGAGACACTGCAGGCCCGGGGCAGCCGTGGCGAGGGACACAAAAGCGCCGGAGAGCAGAATGGAGGAGGCAGGGTGTTTGAGGGCCATGGCGAAGGACGGGGCCAGAGGCGCTGATGCACACGGGGACACAGTGGCGTGGCCGGGGCCAGGCTGGCCTGAGCGCCTGCAAGTTCTCCCCCAAGTTCCCTGTGCCCCTGGGGACCGTGCCCCTCTGGACCGTGCCCCTTCCGGCCAGCAGGCCTGTGGCTGGCGCCCGAAAGCCTCGACTCCTCTGAAGTGTCCAGAAGAGTCTGCCCCAGGACCTGGGACAATGAGGATGGACTAGTTCTCTCTAGAAGAGAGAGGCCAGCGGAGACTTGAGGGCGGCGGCCCTGGGGGGCAGGAAGGGCCAGAAGGAGGAGCCGCCTGAGGAGGAGAAGCAGCCATAGGTTTGGGAAGAGGAAGCCAGGGGGCCTGAAAAGGGAGCCTCGACAGCAAGGGAGGCCCACCCAGCGGGGAGCAGCCTCTCTCAGAGGTGCAGGAGGGCCCAGGAGGCTGCCCAGCTCAGGTGGGTGCTTCGGAAGGACGGGTGCTGCTGCTCACCCCACAGGACAGTTGGCCTGGGGTTGCAGAACAGCAGCGCCACCGCCCAGCCATCCCGGGGTGGTCCAGAGTGTGGCCTCTTGGGTCTCACGGGGGCTCCTGACATGAGCGCCTGTGGCCTGTGGCCTTTCCTGTCTGATCGCTGTGCACTCAGGATGGTTCCTGGTCCTCCTCACTGGGACTATTCTGGGGTGCTAAGGATGGCGTCACTCAAGATGAAAAGCAGACATGATCAAGAAGACAAACCCAATGTAAAGGCGGGCAAAGGATTTGAACAGATGTTTCTCCACAGATATGAAAATACAGAAAACGATATTCAATGTTGTCAGCTGCAAGGGAAATGCAAACCGAACAGTAACGAGACGAAACTTCACATCTGTTGGGGCGATTCTCCTTTGTTTCGAAAGAAGGAAAATCGATGAGGCTGTGGGGAAATGGAAACCCTCGCACCTCACTGGTGGGAACAGAAAAGGGTGCAGACAGCAAGGCAGTTCTGCAAATGCTTAAACAGAGGAACCACTGAACCCCGCAATTCCACACCCAGGCGTATGACCACCTGGAACGGCAACCTGTGTCTACACTGAGAGTCGAACATGAGGGTTCACAGCAGTGTTACTCGTAATATCCAAAGGCAGAAACAACCCACACGTCCTTGCGCGCGTGCGCGGGCCAGCTGGCTGTGGTCGGGCGACATGGACTATCACTGAGCCGGGGCAAGGATGCAGTCCACGCCGCAAGAGGTAGCAGCCTCAGAAAGAGCATGCGAAGAGGACAAGCCAGATACAAAGGGCCACAGGCCACGGGTATGAAGACCGCAGAGCGGGTGAGCTCGCCGAGACAGGACACACGCCCGCCAGGGCCCGGAGGGGAAGTGCCCGGGGCTGCTTCCGGGGAGATGAAATGTTCTGGAAACCTGCCGCGGCGATGGCGGCACAGCGTTGTCATTGTACTAAGAGCTGCTTGTTCATCTGCGGAGGGTGAGCTTTAGGAGATGCCGGTTTTTTAAAAGATGAGGGGAAAGACTTGATGCAGTCGAGATACCCTGGAGAGGCACCTTCCCCTGCACAGGGGACACACCTGCCGACGCGCCTGTGGCCTCAGAGCTGGTTTTGGATCGGGGGGACTGAACTCTAAATACCACCCCCCCAAAACACACATCCGCAGGGGAACTGAGGAGCAGCGGAAGGGCAGGGCACCCCCAAGTGCACAGCCAGCTCTGAGAAGGTCCAGTCCCTGCGGCTGAAGCGCCCGGAGCCCTCACCTGGCTCTGCAGGTAAAGTGAGGCTTCAGAGACAGAATTCTCCATGGTGGCCTTGCCGCGCTCTTGACTCTCCCTCAGCTCCGCCAGCTCCTTCTCGATGTCGGACACGGTGAGTCTGTGAGGACAGCAGTCAGCCTGGCCCCGCCGCCAGCCCAGGGCCCAGGCCACGCGTGCTGTCAGGGACAGGGTCCCCCCACCACCTCCTGGGAATCCCAGGCCTGACCTGTCCTGGCAGGGGGTGCCCTGGGAACTGGCCCAGCCCTGCGTAGGGAGGGCTGAGTCTAGCCAGCGCTCTCGCTCTCCCCGGCGTGCTGGGAGCGGGACCTGCGGGGGAGGGGGGGGTCCCCCCAGCAACCTGAACCAGATAAGGGCAACCTGAGGGCAGAGGCGCGCGCGGTGGGTTCTGTGTCCGGTGACCCAGAGGCTGCGCCCGCTCTCGGGCGGAGGGCGCTGACGGCAGCACTGGCTGCGGGGGCGCGTTACCTGAGGACCCCCAGCTGCAAGCTCAGCTGGCCAGGCTTCAGCTCCTTTCCTTTCTCCAGCTCTCCGCTGTCCAGGATCTTTTCAATCTTCTCCAGCTGCAAACGTGGGAGAGGCGGGGCGGCCGGCTGGAGTTCTCGGCTTCCCGCGGTGCCTGAGCCGAGCAAGCCCCTCCCGCCCCTGACCCCTATCCAGCCCTCCGGGAAAGCCGCATCCCCTGCTGACTTCTCGGCGGCCGCCCTGGCCTCTCCTCTCCCCTGACATCCCCGCGGCACCGAGACTGAAGCCGTAGCAGCCCCGGGCCCTGACCGCCGCCCCGGCAGTCCCACGGGCTTGGCCCTGACCCTGCTCTGGCACAGGGGTCGCTGGGCACCAGCACACCCCAGGGAAGGGGCACAGGCTCCTGGAGCGCCGGTCTCACAGCCAGGACGCGCGCACACGGACCCAGAGGTGCACGTCCCGGCCGCTGGGCCGGCAGACCCGGTGAGGCAGCAGCGAGCGGGCGCCCACCCAGGTGCCAGTGGAGGGGGCACCAGAGGCGCCCACAGGCAAAGCGGGCAGCCGCTCCCAGACTTACTTTGGCTTTTTCCTGCCGAAAGTCTTTGGTCAAGTTCTTCAAGGTCTTCAGCTGCTCCTGCAGGTCGGGCGGCATCGTCTTCTTGACTGAGGCATGAGGCCGGGGTCAGAGCGCGCAGAGTAACTTGGGGCCCCGCCCCCCCCCCGCAGAGAGAGGACCCAGAGAAGGACAAGTCTCATCGCTATCCTGCCTCTCCTGGTGAGCTGGGGGGCGGGAGGGGGGAAGGTGGAGCAGGGGGTCCCCACAAAAAATCCCCCTACAGCCTAATAACCTAAGGACTTGGGGAATACTGACCCACAATTCCCACCCGGCTCCAAAACCTTCATTCTTCTCTGGCCTGGAGTTGTGAGTGGGCCAAGGTCGGGTTTGATGCGTCCACACTCTGTCCCCCCCCGCCCCGCAACTGTTGTTTCCAGCACCTCCCCCTTCTCCCCAGCTGGCGCCCAGAGGCCCATAAGGAAGCAGAACCTGCCTCGCCCTCCCCTGCGCCCCTGCCTCCTGCAGGTTTAATTCTCCCCTTTGGATCGTGAAGCCCACAGGGGGCCCAGAAGGCTGCGCTCTCCACAGGGGCTCGGGAAGACCAGGGTGTGGAGACCAGGGGGAGAAAAGGATGAAATCAACTTAGAGCAAAGCTGGCAGGCTCCGCCCCCACAGAGCTCACCCACCCATCGCTCCCAGGAGGAGCTGTATCTTCTCCAAGTCCGTGAGGCCGGCTTGCGCCTCGTCCACATCCTTCAGGCTTTCCTTCAGCTCCGTGTACAGGCTGACGAGCTCTCCCAGCAGACGGAACGTTTCCACGGCAAAGGGGAAGTGTGGGCTCAATCTCTCAAGCGAATCGCGTCTTTCTCCCTGAATGCCACTCTCTTCCCATGAGACTTGGTGGACTTGGTCTGGAGCCATCTCCGTCTCCGTGGAAACTTTAAACTGGTTTGGATCCAAACCCAGGTGGGCGTACGCATCTACTCCCCGTGAACGCAGGGAATCTGGAAAGGTGTATCCATGGCTACGCTCGTCTACACCTGGGGTCATCTGGTCAGGCCGATCTGGACCAGGTGATACCAAAGGCTGTCGACCTGGGAGCGCAGATCCCACATGCGTGCTTAATGGTGGCTGGGCTGTGCCAGGATGCACCACGCCCTTCTGGTATACATCTGGTGGTGCCAGACCTTGGCTGGCTGGGACAGGTGATGCCTGACTATACTGATCTCTGCCAGGAGGTTCCACGCCATGCTGATACTGGTGCGGGGACGTAAAACTTTGAGCATCTGGGCGGAATTCTGGAGAGCCACGAGGCTCTGTGCCCGGTGGTATGAAGTCCCGCTGATACTCTTCAGGTTGCAACAAGCCACGCTGATCGGCACCAGGCTGCACAAACCCATGTGGGTAAGCACGAGGACGGCCCAAGCCACGAGGATAGGCACCAGGCTGGACAAAGCCACGAGGATGGACACTAGGCTGGACAAAGCCACGAGGATGGACACTAGGCTGGACAAAACCACGAGGATAGGCACCAGGCTGGACAAAGCCACGAGGATAGGCACCAGGCTGGACAAAGCCACGCGGATAGGCACCAGGCTGGACAAAGCCACGAGGATAGGCACCAGGCTGGACAAAGCCACGCGGATAGGCACCAGGCTGGACAAAGCCACGCGGATAGGCACCAGGCTGGACCAGACCGGGTGGGTGTGCCCCAGGTCTGACCATGCCAGGTTGAAGGAAGTCATGTGACTCTGCAGCAGGCAGTAACAAACCACGCTGTCCCACTCCAGGTTGCACCGAACCAGGCTGACCTGCACCAGGTTGCACCAAACCACCCTCATCTGTGCCAGGTTGCACCAAACCAGGCTGACCTGTGCCAGGTTGCACAGAACCACCCTCATCTGTGCCAGGTTGCACCAAACCAGGCTGACCTGTGCCAGGTTGCACAGAACCAACCTCATCTGTGCCAGGTTGCACCGAACCAGGCTGACCTGTGTCAGGTTGCACCGAACCATCCTCATCTGCATCAGATTGCACCGAACCAGGCTGACCTGTGCCAGATTGCACAGAACCACCCTCATCTGTGCCAGGTTGCACTGAACCAGGCTGACCCGTGCCAGGTTGCACAGAACCAAGCTGGTCTGTGCCAGGTTGCACCAAACCAAATCCAACCTGATACATTCCAGGTTGGACCAAACCATGCTGATACATTTCAGGGTGCACCAAATCAGGATAGCCTGCATGAGGTTGCACCATACCTTGCATATACATCCCAGGTGGGACCAGACCTTGCTGACCTGCATCAGGTTGCATCAAACCTTGCTGACCCATTCCAGGTTGGGCCATAAGAGGGCGATGCATTCTAGGGCGCACCAAACCAGGCTGACCTGTATAAGGTTGTGCCAAACCAGGCTGGTAAGTACCAGGTTGCATCAAACCATGTTGATGTGCTCTAGTCAAGGCAAGCTGACCTATACCAGGCTGGACAATGGCAGGTTGACCCACACTAGGCTGACCCACACCAGGCTGACCCACACTAGGCTGACCCACTCCATGCTGGACCACACCAGGTTGACCCATGCTAGGGTGACCCACACCAAACTGACCCATGCCAGGCTGACCCACTCCAGGCTGGACCACGCCAGGCTGGGCGATGCCAGATTGATCCATGACAGGTTGACCCACTCCAGGCTGGACCATGCCAGGTTGGGCCACACCAGGCTGGGCTACACCAGGTTGATCCATGCCAGGTTGACCCACTCCAGGCTGGACCATACCAGGTTGACCCACGGCAGGCTGGTCCATGCCAGGTTGACCCACACCAGGCTGGACCATGCCAGATTGACCAATGCCAGGTTGGACCATGCCAGGTTGGGCCATACCAGGTTGACCCACTCCAGGCTGGACCATGCCAAGTTGATCTATGCCAGGCTGGACCATGCCAGGCTGGTCCATACCAGGTTGACCCACTCTAGGCTGGACCATGCCAGGCTGACCTATGCCAGGCTGGACCATGCCAGGTTGACCAATGCCAGGTTGACCCATTCCAGGCTGGGCCACACCAGGTTGACCCATTCCAGGCTGGGCCATGCCAGGTTGACCCATGCCGGGCTGGACCATGCCAGGTTGACCTATGCCAGGCTGGGCCATGCCCGGTTGACCCACTCCAGGCTGGACCATGCCAGGTTGACCAATGCCAGGCTGGACCATGCCAGGCTGGGCCACACCAGGTTGACCCACTCTAGGCTGGGCCATGCCAGGTTGACCCATACCGGGCTGGACCATGCCAGGTTGACCTATGCCAGGCTGGACCATGCCAGGCTGGGCCATGCCCGGTTGACCCACTCCAGGCTGGACCATGCCAGGTTGACCAATGCCAGGCTGGACCATGCCAGGCTGGGCCACACCAGGTTGACCCACTCTAGGCTGGGCCATGCCAGGTTGACCCATACCGGGCTGGACCATGCCAGGTTGACCCATACCGGGCTGGACCATGCCAGGCTGGGCCATGCCCGGTTGACCCACTCCAGGCTGGACCATGCCAGGTTGACCAATGCCAGGCTGGACCATGCCAGGCTGGGCCACACTGGGCTGACCCATACCAGGCTGGACCATGCCAGGTTGATCCATGCCGGGCTGATCCACTCCAGGCTGGACCATGCCAGGCTGACCTACACCAGGTTGGACCACACCAGGTTGACCCATGTCAGGCTGACCCACACCAAGCTGACCTATGCCTGGCTGACCCACACCAGGCTGACCCATGCTAGGCTGACCCACGCCAGGTTGATCCACGCCAAGCTGACCTGCTCCAGGCTGGACCACACCAGATTGACCCACATCAAACTGGACCATGCCAGGCTGACCCATGCCAAATGGGACCATGCCAGGCTGACCCATACCAGGCTTGATCATGCCAGGCTCGACCATGCCAGGCTGACCCACACCAAATGGGACCATGCCAGGATGACCCACACCAGGTTGACCCATACCGGGCTGGACCATGCCAGGCTGACCCATGCTAAGCTGAACTATGCCAGGCTGAATCATGCCAGGATGATCCATGCCAGGCTGGACCATGCTACTGGGCTGGACTATGCTGGGCTGACCCATACCAGGCTGGAACATTCCAGGAGGGAACACACCCAGCTGACCCACACTGGGTTGATCCATGCCAGGATGACCCACACCAGGCTGGACCACTCCAGGCTGACCCATGCCAGGGTGGACCATGCCAGGCTGACCCACACCAAACTGACTCACACCAGCCAAACCAGGCTGATCTACACCAGGCTGACCTGCCTCAGGTTGTGCCAGGCTAGATAGGTATGCACCAGGTTGCATCAAAGCACTCTGGCTTCCACCAGCTTGAACCACAGCAGGCTGACCAGCCCTAGCCTGGATCGCACCATGCGGCTCTAAGACAGGTTGGATGAGGCCAGGTATCCCCAAGCCGGGCTGTTCTAAACCTTGCTGGCCTGCAGCAGCTTGCATCACACCGGAAGATGCCAAATCATACTGGTCTAGAAGAGGAGAAGCCAATCCTTGCTGCTCCGCAGCGTACGTCACAAATCCATGCTGGTCTATGCCAATGGGCACCAACCCACGCTGATCCATGCCAGGTGGTCTTATACCACTCTGGGCCCTGTCCAGCTCTTCCCTGCCATGCTGGTCTGTACCAGGAGGCATCAGACCAGGCTGATATGGACTAAGTGGACCCAGATCACGCTGATCTATAGGGGCCAGTGCAAACACTTGCTCATCTCTGCCAGGCACAAAAGGTAGCCCCATACCATACTGGGTCATGTCAGGCTGGCCCAAGTCCTGCTCCATCCCTGGCATCGACATGCCAAGCTGACTCACAGTGTGGGGCACTACGCCCTGCGGAGAAGAGATAGGGTGCGGCAGTGCACCCTGATCCATGCCAGGCAGTCCTAATCCGTACTGATATGGACTCTGATAAATGTCACTCTGGCTAAAGCGCACCCCCACTTGATGATCTGGGTACGCGTACGGCTGCTGCTCCCCGGCCGAGGGGAAGTCCTGCTGGATCGGGCCAGGCTGCGCCTCTCGTGCATCTTGTCTCAGAGGTGCTAAGCCATAGGGCTCCCTCGACCTGCGGCGTTCTGAATCGACTCTGGAGTGGGAAGGAGGGTGAGGGGGGAGCTTCGCCAGGCCAGCTGGGTGCTGCTCTCTGGCAGGAAGCCCTGCAGCTGAGGCACCTCTGCTCTGTGCCTGGCCAAGGGCCCTTTCCATGGAGAATCTTGGGCCTCCCGTGTCGGATGTGGTCTGCTCGGAGCCTGATTCGTGGGCAGAATATGCACTGCGGTCAGTACTTGGATGCTTGGAGGAGGGGGCACCTGGCACGTCTCTCCCATTCGGTATGGAAGATGGCCTTTTGCGTTTAGGGAGGCCCATTGTTGACTCTGAGCCCTGGTTGAAGAGGAAGAAAGAAATCAGTAACTACAAGTAAGACAAGACGGTGAGATTTGGCGGGAAGGAGAGCTGGGCTATTTGGCTTTAGGGCCCTTGGAGGAAAATCCCCTCTGGCTCCAAAACCTAAGTGGACACAAAGATAGACTGACACACTCAAAAGGCAGGTCTCTGGGCTTTTGAGAGCCTTCATATTTGCAAATGGCATTACGATCCATAATGTCCTCATTGGGCCTCCCTGGTGGCGCAGGGGTTAGAGTCTTAGTGCTATCAAGCTATCACCAGCCACTGCAGCACAAGTTCGATCTCCGGGCAGGGAGCTACCCACATGGCACAGCAGACCTCTCCTGTCTCCCCTCTGCTCCCCTCAGCAGTGGATTTCAGTGGATCCACCTTTTCTGCTCCCCACTCTGGTAAATCCTCTCACCTCCAGCTCTGCAGACCTACATCCCAGTTCTTCTAATCAAAAATAAAAATGGAAAAAGAGCAACGTACCTGCCTTCTTCGCTAATCCTGACAGTGAGCACAGGCTGCAAGAAAATGGCAGGCTAGGCCCTCACCTGGTAAAACCCAGTGGCTGCGAGGTGCAATCAAGCAAGGCAGACACCAGGGGGCACCACCTGGGCAGCCACCTTCTAATTCTGTCACCTGTGCCCCAGAGAGGCCTGCGCCCTTGGCCTCAGGCTTCCGCAAACAAAACAAAGGAGAAAAGGAAACTGAGGTATGGAGAGACTGTGGAAGTGAGTACTGAAAAGACACCCCAGGCCTCGCTGATGTCAGGAAGTCACCTGAGATGCGAGGGCCACGCCACAGGTTACTGCCCCACAGTCAGAAATGAGAAGAGCAGAAAACAGGAGGAAATCTTCAGCTAAGCTACGAAGCCAACCAGTCATTCTTTCCTTTTTTTTAAAGATAGATTTATTTATTTATACAAGCACTGGGTACAGTCAGAAGCACAGGAGGGTGAGAGGATTCACCAGAGCCAGAGCGGGAGCAGAACAGGCAGACGGATAGAGTACACTGCTGAGGGGAGCAGCGGGCACAGCAGGAGAGGACTGCATGCCATGTGGGACCCTCCCCCGGCAGCCGGGGATGGAACCAGTGCTGCAGAGGCTGCAGGCAGCTTCGCGGCCCAGGGCTCAACCGCTGCGCCACCGGGGGAGGCCCACCAACCAGTCACTCTTGAAGAGCCTCAGGAGGGAAAAGTGACTGAGTGAGTGTCCTAGGGCAGCTGCTGAGAGTGACCACAGACGGAGAGGCTTAAAGCAGTGCAAGTCGTGGTCCTCCCTAGGGGTGCAGGGGTTAAAGTCTCAGTGTTGTCAAGACCATTGCCAGCCACTGCGGCCTGAGTTCAATCCCCGGCCAGGGAGCTGACTCACATGGCGCAGCAGACCTCTCCTGTCTCCCCGCTGCTCCCCTCAGCAGTGGATTTCAGTGGATCCGCCTGTTCTGCTCCCCACTCTGTCTCTGGTGAATCCCCCCACCCCACACCTCTAGCCTTCTCGGCCACATCGCTGGCCACATCCAGATCAGCCAGGATGGTCTCCCGGGTCAAGATCATTACCAAGGCAATCACCCTGCAAGGCCCCTTTGCCATACAGCTGACACCCGCAGGCTGTGGGCATGAGGGCATGGGGATGTCTGGGCCATTCTTCTGCCCACCACAGGGCTGAGAACCAAGTCCTGCTTTTACAGAACAAATATCTGGAATTCTTAACAGCTCCAGGGCTGGCAGGGAGGGGGAAGGGGTCGAGGCTGGTCAGTTTCCATCGAAGGCAGCACGTGAAACCATATCATGTCTGAGGATGTCTAGAACTGGGCACAGTAGGAGCCGAAGCTGCCGTGGCGCCCTCTCCCGGGCCTCTAAGTAACCACGCAGCGGCCCACGGCCCCCTCCCTGCTGGAGCGCCTGGAGGCCAGGGCACAGCCTTGCTTTGTCCCTCACGCCCTGTGGCCCACACCTGGGTTTGCCAGGGAAACCAAGGAGTCTAGAGTCAGACCCCAGTCGCTCCCTGCTGAGACGATGCCAACTCCCGGGCCTTCCCACGTCATCACGATCACCGGACCTTCGAAGGCAAGTGTGTCCAGCGCGCTCTCCCGCCGCACCTCAGGACGCCTCAGCCCACACCATTTTATGATGCGTCATCATTTTATGTCTTAGCAGGAAAGCTGGGCGAGCACCCCACCTGCCATTCCCATCACCCCAGGACACGACCACGTCCTTATTCCTGTTCCTCTGGGGACACAGCCTAAGCCCAGACTTTCTCGTTTGACTCAGCCAGCTGACATCCGGGCCAGCCCTGGACGCCCGTCCGAAACTGCTGCTCTGGTCTGGGTCCCGACGCGGAAGCCTTCCCAAGGCTGGTGACAGCCCCGCTTGATCCCGCCTCCGCCCAGCAGGGCCCCTGTGTCAGGTGCTCCTTTCTGCTTTATAAGCCGGTCGTCCCCCAGACCTCTGGACGGAGACTGTCCTTCACCTCAGACACTCTTTCTGCATAAGAACCACGGGCTCAAGGCCCCGGGCCTAGTGAGGTGGGCACTGCAAGACCCTTCTGTCGCGGACTGTCTGCCTCTGGGGTTCTGGCTATGCCCGATGCCTTCCCGGGTCACAGGGAGGTGCACCCTGCTAGAGCGCGGCTTGGGCCTCCTGCTTCCGGCAGGCCTCTTGCCTTTTCTCACCCCTACAGGAGGGATTTAGGAAGAGGAGGAGGAGGCAGCGGCAGCAGCAGCTCTGGTGCAGGAGCAGCTTGAAGAGCCACCCCGTGGCCCACCAGAACTTGCTCTGGGACACAGCACTAGTCCGTCCTCCGTCCGCCCATCCCGGCCCATTGCATCGAGCAGCTCCTCTCCCTCAGAATGCAAACTCAGCGCCGCCCCCCTCGGTGATGCAGATGAGCTTCCGTGCTGACCACACACTGCCCGTGCTGCCCGCGCCGTCCTCCAGGGGTGCTGTGGATGCAAGCAGAGGAAGGGCCTGGCGGGTGCCTCAGTTTCTCCACCTGTCTACCAAAGCCCACAGCAAACCTTAAGGGGCTTTGAAGCCATGATTTCACATCCCACCACAAACCCACAAGGCAGGAGAAAGCGGTCTCGGGGTGCTTGCTCAGCGTGAGCCGGCACAGCTCTTTCCAGAAGGGGTCCTCTTGCTTCTCAAGTGTGTCGGTAGGAGCAACTGTGAAAGCAGTGACACCTCCCGAGCCCTGGAGCTTTGGACGTTGTGCGGGGGCATCTGCCCAGAGCAGGTGCTAGTGCAGGAGGAGCCCTCGGTCCTGGCTGCACCTCTAGGTCTGAGCCCCAGAAGACAGGCTGCTCACTTCAGACAAACCACAGAGATCTGGCCAAGATGCTTCGGCTTAAAAAAACACAGTGAGGAGAGAGCGAGGACCTTTCCAGCCCTCGCCCTGCTTTGCAGGCAACTCTCCCAGTTCCTGCAGAGGGCGGGGGCTGGAGACCAGCGAGGAGACCAGAGAGGTCACCGGTGCCCAGAGAGCGCGGGCGTGCCCTGGACAGCCACTAGGTGGCGCCAAAAGGACGCGCTCTTCGCCTGGCTTGGTCTGGTGTGAGCTTTAGGGGGAGACCCCGTTGCACAAGGCTAGGGAAGGGAAAGGCGGAGACCAAGAGCGCAGCTGACCCCCACCCTTGAAAATACCCATTTTCAGGGCCTCCCCGGTGGCCCAGAAGTTGAGCACAGCACTGTGAAGCTGTCCGCAGCCTCTGCAGCGCCGGTTCGATCCCCGGCAGCTCCCCGGCCACCGGAGGCGGGTCCCACATGCCGCCCGCTGCTCCCCTCAGCAGTGTACTTCGTCAGTCTGCCTGTTCTGTTCCCGGCTCTGGCTCTGGTGGATTCTCTCACCCTCCCGCACTTCTGACTGTACCCAGTGCTTGTATAAATAAATAAATAAATCTTAAAAAAAAAGAAAATACCCATTTTCTGGGCCTCCTCTGGTGGCGCAGGCGGTTGAGAACAGCGCTGTGAAACTGTCCGCAGCCTCTGCAGCACCGGTTCGATCCCGGCCAGTCAGCCAGCGAGAATCCCGCATGGCGCAGCAGACCTCTCCTGGCTCGCCCACTGCTCCCCTTAGCAGTGTATTTCAATCTGCCTGTTCTGCTCCTCACTCTGGCTCTGGTGAATCCTCTCACCCTCCCGTGCATCTGGGCTATACCCCAGTTCTTGTATGCATGAATAAATAAATCTTAAATTAAAAAAAAAGGCCCATTTTCTTCAGGGGGAGTGGGGCGGGGGCTTGAACCAACATGGCTGCCTGCGCCCGGCCCCAGCACAGGTGGACATGTCGCCGGCATGGGGACATCCCCCAGGGAGGGTGTGCGTCCAGGGGGGCACCTCATCCATTCACAGTGAGGACAGCCCACCAGGGAACATTGAAAAGCGATGAAAACCCATCGAAAAATTTTCTATTCAACCAAGTGGCCAAGCTGAAAGCAGCGGGAACTGGCAGACGGGCAGGCAGGGCCCCCCGCACTCCCCCGGCCCCTTCTCTTAAATTGGATCCTGTCCATGGACAACTTGACAAGCTACCTGCATCCCAGAGCCACCTGCGGCTCCTGGAGTTCCCCTCTGTGTAGGCCCACATGTGAAGGTCACATGGCGCGTGAAGATGGGGACACTAAAACCACCCAGTGTGGGACCCACGTGAAATAAGTGAAATAAGTCACGAGCACCCCATCACGGAAACCATGCGACCGGCAGAGAGGGGGACTCCCAACTGCGGCCGCCCCTGCAGCACCTGTGAGGCCCTCCAGCCGTCCGTGATGGCGTGCTCCAGCTCCTCCCAGGTGACCATGGTGGCCTCTTCTACATGGGGCTTCATGTGCAGCCTCTGCTTCATGACTTCCTGTCAGAAAACACACCCCCGGAGCACCTGGTTTCACTCCAGGAAACTTCAGGGACAGAACAGAGGTGACAGGCGGGCCCCCCACCGCCCTAGCACCGGGGAGAAGTCGCTGTCCAAGTGATGGGTGAGTCAACCCTGCTGGAGGCCTGGGCAGGGGTGCAGTGTGCCAGAGACAGAGACACGCACCTCCACGCTGCAGGGAGGCTGCCAGGGGGCTGGGGTGGGGCACGAAAACCCTCTCCAGGGCCCCGCAGGCAGCTCCTCACCAGAAAAGCCTCCTGCTCTTTGAAGGCTTGCTCTAGTTCTTCCACCCGCTGCACGATTTTCTGGAAGAGAGTTCAGACATGGGAGATTCAAGCAGCCCCCCCATGTGGGTCCTACACACGCGTGCACACATACACACACGTGCACATACACTCAACCCATGCACATGTGCCCACCCACACATGCACACTCACGGGCTCATACACAGGCGTGCACCCTGTCACTCAGGCTCAGGGAAGAGACAAGGTATGTGATCTCAGAGAGGCCGGCGGGCTGAGGGGGCTGCTGGGGACAGGGAGCCAAGAGCAGATGTGAGTGCAGGATGGAACCCCTTGGTCCTGGGGGTCCTCACCCTGCCCACTGGGGCTGGCCCCCTGCAAAGAGAGGCTGGGCCCCCTCAAGGGTGTCGGATTGTGCCTTTTCAAGGAAAAAGTCCCTCAAGAGAGCGAAAGCCAACTGCTGGCATGTCAGTTGCTCCTTATACCTTGTGCACATCTCCAGAATCCAAGGCTCTAAGAGGTAAAACAGGACTTCATCCTAAAAAGCACCCCAAAACCAAAGAACCACGGGCTTTCAAAAGACAGGCTTGGGAGTTGCGGGCCAGAGGGTCTTGGCCGCCTCCGCCCGGCACCTTCCCAGCCTGCCCGGCCCGCCGTCCCCCCAGCTGCCTTTGCAGCCCCTCCCTGGGCGCCTGCCTCGCTGCTCCCCTTCCCCTCAGCTCTGACCCGACCTGGGCCCCCTGTGGCGCGGCGGCCCCGCTCTGCCTGGCATCTCCGGGCTGCTGGGGTCCCTGGGCCACTGGAAGGCGCGCGTGCTAAGGATTCGTGCTTCCAGGGCGCAGGACACACGGACGCCCGCGCACCCCTGCTCCCCGCGGCTCTACCTGCGCGCGCCTCTCAACACCCCCTTTCCTCGATCTTGTTTCAAGGGCCATTTCCTCGCCCCACATCCTGGCTCAGGCCCCTCAGGGCGAGATCGGGGAAGGGGTGACTCAGCCCCAGAGGCGTGTCCCCGCGTCCTCACCTGCGGGGTCAGCTCAGGGAGCACCTGCCCCTTTTGCTGGGCTTCCTGTGCCCATGGCTGGACCTCCTGCTCCGTTGGCTGGGCCTCCTGCGCCCCTGGCTGGGCCTCCTGCGCCCCTGGCTGGGCCTCCTGCGCCCCTGGCTGGGCCTCTTGTGCCCCTGGCTGGGCCTGCTGCGCCCTTGGCTGGGCCTGCTGCGCCCTTGGCTGGGCCTGCTGTGCCCTTGACTGGACCTCCTGCGCCCTTGGCTGGGCCTCCTGCGCCCTTGGCTGGGCCTCCTGCCCCATTGGCTGGACCTCCCGCGCCCTTGGCTGCTCTTCCTGCGCCTTCCGCTGCGCTTCCGCCGCCTTTCTGTACATGTCTCTCAGGCTCCTGGAGTCTCTCTTGCCGCCCGGGTGCTGATCCGTGCCCTGCCAGGGAGAGTGTGGGCCGCGTGGGGCCAGCGGCGCCCGGCTGTCCCTGCTCCCCCGCTCCCTGCTCCCCCCTGCTCCCAGGGCGCGCCCAGGTGGCATGCCCGGCCCGTGAGCAGCGGCGGCCACTGACCTCGGCGTCCTCCTTGACGTGTCTCGCCGTGGCCCTTCCCGCCACCCAGGGCTGCAGCCTGGCCGCCTCTTTGTCGTCCAGCCACTCCTGCGTGTCCCGGCGCATCGTGCCCTCCGTGGCGGTGAGGTGGGTCACGATGCCCTGCACCTGACTCTCCATGGTCTTCAACTGCTGGCCCAGGTCCTGCACCTGGCTCTCCAGGTCTTTCACCTGGACCTCCAGCCTAGCCCCGCTGCTGCGCCGCTTCTCCTTGGGCGGCGCCCCCTGCAGGGCGCTGAGCGAGGCGCGCGGGGTCAGCGCGACGCGGCTCTGCTCGGGGGACGCGGCCGACTGGAAGTCGATCAGGGTGCCCGTCAGGTTGAGGCTCTTGAGCATGGCCACGAGGAGCGTGTGCAGGGCCGTGAAGTTGACGGTGCCCACCTCCGGGGTGCCGATGGCGACGTCGGCCAGCTCCAGGAGGGACACCCTGGTGGCCGCCGCGGGCAGCATGGTGCGCACGGTCCGCGCCGGCGAGGGGACAGGCGGCCGCGCCCAGCTCGGCGTCCGGGGCCTTTCGGGGCGCCCCGCTACCGGGCCCAGACGCCCCGGGCACCGTCCGGAGCCCGCCTGGAGGGCCGAGAGGAAGCGTCGGGCCGACCCGGGACCAGAGCTCGCCTCCCCCGCGGGGTCAGGGTACCGCGGCCCCCGCCCTCCGCCGCGCTGCCCTCCGGTCGCCGCCCCCAGTCTCCGAGCTCGGGCTCGCGGCCAGCGGACGTTTGGAGCAGGAGCGCGCCCCGCTAGCTCCCGGGGGGGGGTGGCCCCCAGCGCCCCCAGGATTCCGCGAAGAACGCACCCAGCGGAGCCGGCAGGAAGCCCGCGCCGGAGGGACCGCCCATTCTCAAGGCCACCCCAATGGCGGGTGGGAACCCGTCTTCACAGGGCCTGGGCCAGCCAGAGCATCCCCTGAGGCGCTGCTGCTGTTCCAGAAAGCCCTGTGGGGCCTAGCCCAGGCACCCGCCTCAGGGGGTTCATCTGCTTGGGGGGGGCTACCTAAGGTTCAGCTAGACTCCAGGCTCCCCTAATATAGAAACACCCAGAGGGGCCACGGAGAAAGGATTTAAGGGCATCATGACAACCAGCTGAATGTCCTCAGCTCTTTCCATGGGGCAGGGGGCACAGAACTCAGGGACACAACCTGTGACCTTGGCCCCTTGGAGACGGCTGGGGATCATCTTGTCCAGTCAGAAGGGAGGGCAGCGTGGAGACAGGCCACTCCCAGAGGTCCAGGCAGCGCTGCCGGGCCTGTCCCTCTCACCACTGGCATCCAGTGAGATGCCAGCATTTCACTCACAGGAGGCAGGACTGGTGTGTGCTCCAGAGGCCTGACTCCCACACCAGATTCTTCCGGAGAGCGTGTGAAACTTGTATGCAGGAAAGCTGAGCACCCGCGGATGCGTCTGTACCACGCACTCCTGTTTGAACCACTTTTCAGATCTCGTTTCTTAGTGTGAGCAGGTAAAACTGATTTAATTGAAACTGCCTCCCCACTGCAACCCCCCCCCAAAATACCCCAGTGCCCACGGGGAGTGGGGTGAACCCAAGGATATGTGATCGCCATCGATCCCCAACACCTGACACGCAGTAGGCCTTCGAGAGACAAACGGGAGCGTCCTTGCACTGACGCGCTCGCCTTAGGAGAAACCAGGTGTGCTCACAGGTACGCGGGAAGCCCCAAGCACCGGCTGCGCTGGAGGCCATGACGTGTAGGTCTCAATTCTGAGTTGAGCGACTTTCCAGAACGTCACGCCTCCTATGCCAGCCGGAGCCAGCACAGCTCCGGGTCCTCGGCTTGTCACGTCCCGGAGACGCCGCATCATGCCAGACACTAGTCACTCAATGCCAATGGAAAGAGCACATTCTAATAGGCTGAGCCTGGTCCTGGGAAATGTCTAGCTAAGGGCTTCTGCTAAATAGACCTTTTAAAACCTCTTAGAAACAGGGACAGCAACGCTGACTGGCGGTGGAGACGGAGGCGTCAATGCAGTGGAGTCGGACAGAAGCTCAGCTTGCAGTCCACAGCCGCTGCCCGCCCGGAAAGGCCCGGCTGTGGGCCTGGGGCGACGAAGACCCAGGTCTCCTGAAGAGCAGCCCCAGCTCTTCCTCCACCACACTAGTTATTTTATAATTAAGTTCTTTGCTCGAAATTCCCCTGCTTGGACTATTAACAGAAGGCACTTTACTTGTGTGCTTGAAAAAGCTAACGCGCTCCAAGTCTTGATTGTGCGCTGAAAACAGGTCAGGTCATTAGGAAAAGGATTAAAATGCCAAGGAAGCTTCCCCGCGGAGAAACACAATTGTGCAAATAATTGAATTGCCCTTTATTATCTCTCGGGAACTGCAGGACCAATAAGCAATTCCAGTTCATCCTCCCGTAGACGCCTTCCCCCATCACTCAGCCCCGCAGCGAGGCCTGCCTGACAAAGGCGGCGGAAAGGCCCCGTGCAGGCCCGAGGAGCTCAGTGAAGGCAAGTGCCTCCTTTCACACGGCGGAAATTTTTTTTTAATTTAGATTTTTAATTTCTCACTCAGCAAGGCTCTCGCGTCAGTGCTCAGGTGTCGGGGGAAGGGGCGAGCTGCTGGCGGAGGCCACCGGCCAGCTCTGGGCCAGCCTGAGTCCGGGTCTCGCGCACAGAAGGCAGCCCCTCGAAGGCAGGCGAGTGGGCAGCGCTGGGGGGTAGTGAAGAGACCAGCAAGACCACGAATCCTTTTATTTGCAACTTAAGAGCAACACAGACCTCCAGAGCTAGGGTGCTCTTCTCTAATCCTTGCTAGGAGTGACGCCAGAAATGCTGTTTACCGGCTGTGGGGATGGCAGTTCCTCAAAGAAATACAGGATTCCCGCTAAAGAGGGGCGTCAAGCTGGCCGGGAGAGAGGACAACTAGAATAGAGGGTGCCAGGCGCTCAGCTTCCCTAAGCACGTTCAACATTAACGTCTGCGCTTCCCTGCAGCTGAAACACCAGAACATTAGCATCGAGACTGTCTGCCCTGAAAGTCTTTTCCAGTCAAGATTTTCAGATTTTTTTCACGACGTCCATTTAGGGGAAGGACGGTGGCGGCGGCCCTTGCCGGGGTTCAGCCCTCTGCTCCCTGCCTCGTGACGAGCTTAGTGCCTCTCACCTCCCGAAGTGGGGAGAGGCCACCTGGCTGAGACCCCTCAGTCCTCCCACGAGGCAGTACCGTGCAATCAGCCCTGCCCGTCACGTGCCCCCGAGGAGCCGAGGAGGCGAGCCCCGGCTAGTCGTCCACGGTGATGTTCCGGAAAAGGTAGGCCATGGACTCCCCGTTGTGGATTCTGCGAATCGCTTCAGAAAGAATCAGACTGATGTCCACTGTCTTGATCTTGGGGCACTGCAGCTTCTGCACCTCATGGGGGACGGTGTTGGTCACTACCACCTGTCAGGCACCATGGAAACACCGTCACTAACGCGTCACCTGAAGCACCAGGGCGCAACCCCTCATCCTCTCAGCATAGGTCTCACCCACTAACCCTTGTCAACCTGACACCAGGCAGAGGGCTGCTGTCAGGGCGTGTGCCCCCATGGGGCAAGACGCTCCTGTTCTCAGGAAAGAGGTCAGCCTGGACAGAAAGACTCCCAGTGTCAAATGACCCGAAGTGCAAATATTAAAATGCACGCAGCAAATCTAAGCATTCATCCGCCCCAGCCCAAGGCTAGGCCCAGGAGGCCCATGGGACTGTGCTCTGCCCCAGGCAAGGGCCGCGCCCGCGCCTCTGGCTAGATGTCCCCAACCCTTCAGGCACAGTGGACCTCATCAATGGAGGACTCCTCGATCAGGCGGGGGGCCTCTGCGGACAGGATGCCGTGGGTGGCCATGACGTAGATCTTGTAAGCGCCTCTCTCTTTCAGGATCTCCGCGGCAGCCACGAAACTCTCCACGTCATCAATGATGTCATCCTGAGGAGGGAGGAGGGAGTCTAAGGAGTCGCCCAGGCCTCCAGGCCATCTGCTCTTCCCCCACTGGGTTTCAGAGGGTCCTCTGGGGTCAGAGCCCTCGGTGGGGGTCAGGGAGGACTCCCAGGAATGGCACAAAGCAGCCGACTGGACTCTGCAGCTGCCGGCACACAGCCGGCAAAGCCTTAATCACAAGTGACCTTCACGCCAGTCTCCTGTCATCAAGAGTCACATCCCTGTTCCCGACTTCTGACAAAGCCCACAGTCCACATCCCATGTACTCTTTTCCAGGAGAAAAGTCAGGTGCTGTCCCAGGCAGCAGATGTCACACAGGCGCCAGGATAAAGGCATACACCTGTGGACACGCCTTCAGCCCAGCACAGGCGCTCAGAGCAGGGAGCCAGGACAGCCTGTCTCTCCCTCAGCTCGTGGCCCGAATGCCTGCGGCTGAGTACACAGGTCAGCTCCACGTTGGGGCCCGAGCCCCCCCACCCCCAAACAAAGAGTATCATTCAGGGGCTGAGCTTTCTTGCCGGAGTTACTCCAGGCCACAGCGGTGACCCTGCTCGTCTGCACGAGGCCACGACCGCCTGTCCCAGAGAGTGTGGGTGAGAAAGGACAGGCAGGGCCATTTACACCTGTCACCATGCTGGGGAATGGGGTCACACGAGTGGACACCTCCAGGAGTCCCAGCACCCCACAGGGCGAGGGTGAACAGCCATACCACGATGATGGCGATGCGCCCGCCGACGTCTCCCACCACGGTGATCGGCGGCTTCTCCTTGGCCATCATTACTAGGAGGACACAAGTCACAAGACCCCGTTAGCCACGCACCACAGCAAGTGACCACGATCCTAGAGTGGCGCCTGGTGAGCTTGGGGCTGCCAGCTGCTGTCACAGCAGCAGAGGCCGCCATAAGTGCCATCTCACACTCCTCAGGAGCCCCATGAAAAGGCACAGGGCACAGGGGCCTCCCTGGTGGGCAAGGGGTTAAGTTCAGCACCATCAAGCTATATCGGCACCGCTGCGGCCTGAGCGCCCATCCCTAGCCGGGGAGCGACCCACCCACACCGCGCAGCAGACCTCGCCTGTCTCCCCGCAGCTCCCCTTAGCAGTGGAATTCAGTCAGTCTGCCTGTTCTGCTCCCCACTCTGTCTCTGGTAGATCCTCTCAACCCCCGCATCTCTGGCCTGCACCCTAATTCTATGTAAAAATAAGTAAAAATCTTAAAAAAAAAAAAAAAAGGCACAAGGGAATAGATGAAATGTATAGATTTTACTTTATCCAATACATCTAAAACATGATTTTAATATGATTATGCAAATTTATTAGCTTATCTGTTTCCTGGCTACAAATAGAGACAAATTTATTAAGGATGTTTTATATTTTTTGCATACATTTCAAGTCTCTGCTTTTGGGGTGCCTTTGTACACACAGCACTTCTAGGCAGAGCCAGCACAAAGCCACTCCCAGCAGAAATGTGTCCGGGAGGGATAACGAAACATAAAGGAAATGCCCTGCCAGACGGCAGCTAAGCACTGGTGCCACTGTACTTTGCCCAAAGCGACATCTCAACATCAGATAACCCACACGATCTGTCTCCGGGAACCGGGACTTGATGACAGTAACTGAGTCTGTCATCTCTTCTGCATTTAACTGGTCCTTAAAGTACAGGTTTCTTTTCTTTTTTTCTTTTTTAGAATTTTTTTTCCTTTTTTTTTTTTTTTTTAAGATTTATTTATTTATACAAGCACTGGGGTACAGGCCAGAGGCACAGGAGAGTGAGAGAATTCACCAGAGACAGAGTGGGGAGCAGAACAGGCAGATGGACCAAAGACACTGCTGAGGGGAGCAGCGGGCAAGACAGGAGGGGTCTGCCGCGCCATGTGGGACTCTCGCCAGCCAGCCGGGATTGAACCCACACTGCAGAGGCTGCGGACAGCTTCACAGTGTGGCGCTCAACTGCCTGTGCCACCAGGGAGACCCCAAAGTACACGAGTCTTAACTCACTCCAGAGGTGGCATCTGGAAAAGGCCTATGGACATGCAAATGAGGCCATGGAGGAGGGAAGTAGGATTTGTTGTTAAAAGGTGAGAACATTGAGGGAAGAGATTATTTTAGAACGGGCTAAATAATCTGCTTTTTGGAAAGCTTTTTATTATTTTGAGTATTTATGAATAGTGGGGGGCGGGGGAACAACCCGGGCGAGGATATAACTTGGTGCTCCTCGCAAGACTCCAGGCATAGCCTCAGAACAGCCCTTCCTGTCGCGCTTGTGCCACTGCAACTTGGCACCGAATACACCCCTGGCAAATTCCAACAGACATTCCCCAGCTTCCCACCCCAGAAACACAGCCGTTCCTTGAATATGGACAGTCCAAATGCTCCCCATATAACTGCCCCCCCAAAGGGAGTGGAGAGAAGAACCCATCCATACTAGGAGTCGCTTCGACCGGCTCTCAGAGTAAGCAGGCCATGGGCAGGTGGATCTGCAGCCACCAGCTCCCAGAGAGAGGCGGTCCCTTTCCTTAATCATTTTTCTCTGAAATAGAGAAAGTTCACAAGCCAGGATCCCTTATCAAGATGCATGGGAATCTGGCTCCTGGTGATGCAGAAGACCCCAAACATCAGCTGGCACCCGTCTGTGCTGCTGTACCCCACCTCTCCTCTCCCAGAAAGCTCCTGTGGGTCTGAAGTAAAAACAGGCTGGGCTGGGATGGAGGCTAACAAGGTATCAAAGAAGTCATTTCTCTCATGCCCAGCCCCCCTGGCTTCAGGCTCTGCATGAGACAGACGACAGCCTCGCAGGGCTGGGGGATGTGAACAGACTCCAACAGGTGAAAAAGATGCCCCAAATTATCAAATAGCTTGCCCAGAAAACAAAACACTAAAAATGCAACAGTTTCAGCAAAAGTAATACATGTGCTCAAGGTCAAATATAAAGGTCACTAAAATTACCCTATGTTTAAGATTTTGTCCTCTGTCTCCATAGTATCAAAGGAAACCCAGTTTGCTACAGGATAAAAAGGAGTCATGCACCATTGCTTGTGGCCAAAGTCACTTTTAAACAACACCAACTTGGGCCTCCCCGGTGGTGCAGGGGTTAAAGACAGCACTATCAAGCTATCGCCAACCACTGCAGCGCAAATTCGATCCCCAGACGGCCAGGGAGCTACCCACATGGTGCAGCAGACCTCTCCTGTCTCCTCGCTGCTCCCCTCAGCAGTGGATTTCAGTGGATCTGCCTGTTCTGTTCCCCACTCTGTCTCTGGTGAATCCTCTCATCCCCCGCACCTCTGGCCTGTACCCCAGCTCTTGTATGCATATATAAATAAATCTAAAAAACAAACAAACAAAAAAAAAAAAACACCAACTCACTGTCCAAGTAAAATAATGCTGCATTTACAAAAATCCTTGATCTCTCCCCACCCCATCCCCATCCCCCAGGGTCAACCAAGTCTTCCTCTTCCAAAATAAAGACCCGTATTTAGGGGGTCAAAGGACAACCGGTCCTTTCAAGTACATGAGGCACCCTTGACCTCAGGGAAGTAGGACCAACTCCACCTTACAACTGAAACAGAAACATCTAGACAACTTCACTGGGAATATACCACCTAAGACAGGGCTCTGCAACCTCAGCACCAAGATACTTGGTCCCGACACCTGCTCAGAGTAAAGGTGCCAGCAGAGTCTCTGGCCTCTACTTACTAGATGTCAGGAGCACCTAAAGGTGTTCTCAACAGTCTCTGGGGCCGCTCTGCACGTGGGTGACTTCAAGCTGAGTTCAACTGAGGCCCTGCAAGCTCACAAGACACTTCCAACTCACCCCTCACACTAGGAACAGGAAGTGAGAGGTACTGCCAGGACAGGTCCCCACTAGAAATTGCCTGTGGAGAAACCACATCCACGGCAGGGCTGCCGTCCATGCACAGAGCACAGGGCTGGGGAGTGATTCCCGCCCACCCCCCCACCATGTGAGTGCCCCTTTCTTGAAGTCCCGGGCCTACCCCACCCTTGGCTCAGGGCACATACCCCCACTTTTCCTTAAGGCCTCTGGGACCCTCACTTCATGTAGGTGGCCTCTCCTGCTAATCCATCTCGATGTTCTTTTTATTAATCAACCAAGCCAAAAGAAAAAGAAGCCGAGGAGTTGGGGGGAATCTCACCAACACACCCGACCTCCCACACCCACTGATGGTTGAGGCAGCAGCAGAAGCGCCTATAGGCAGCACCAAAAGCCCCCAAGGGAAGCCTCCTGAGTGGAGAACTGCTGCTCTGAGATGGGCTCCAGGAAAATTAAACAGTTCATCTTCCTGAAAAATGCAAGGACTTGGAGGATGAATATTTGCTTTTCCCTGGCCCTGCCCTGGCGTTCTGGTCTTGGTCCTCACCACTACCAGACCCCTGAAGCACTGCAAGTATAGCTGACGCAAAAGTGGAAGGCCAGTTACTACAGTGCAGTATAACTATACAAACAAGAAATTACATTTTTCAGAATCCTCTTGGCTCAATCTATAAAAGGGAGTCACGGAAGACGAGCCTATGGCCATGTAAACGTCAGCGCCAATACACAACAGGTGGGTGGAGGACCCACCGCCTTCTGCAGCACCCGGGATAACGCGAGGTGACAACCCTAGGTAGCACAGTGACGGTCCCAGAAGAGAGACACTGACCACACAAAGGGCTGCGCTTGCTGGCGGTACCTATCACAGTGACCTCTGAGCCAGAAGTTGAATTTCCTGGTCTTTGTGCCGTGAGTACCTTCATGTGCTTATGTAAGAACCCGGGCCAAGGTTAACCCCGCGGCACCTGCTGGGGTGTGTGCACGTCCCACTACAGGACTTGACCCCGGGAAGTGGCCGGAACATGTGGATTCACAGCTGAGGAAGGAGGTAGCAGAAAACGCCAGGGACCTGGCAAAGACACAGGAGGCGGCAGCTGCGCCAAGGATTTCTCTCTGGCCAAGTCTGAGGCCATGTGAGCATGAAAACAAAAGCAATGGATGTATCCCTGAGTCCTTGGGCAAGTTAGGGATAAGCAGGCAGCTTCAAGGGCAGTGCAGGGACCTCAGGAGAGTTAAGGAAGCTCCAGAGATAAGGGCAACAAATTCCAAAGGGGACTGATAGTCAAACACCACAGGACTAGGAGCAGCAGGACATTCCCGGACAAGGATCATAAAGGAAAAAGATAAGGGCTGGGACATAGGGGCTTAGTTCTGGGCACAGAGACATTTAGGCAGTGAGTGAGACCACTGAGAACTAACCAATCACAGAGACGGGTGGGGCCTCAGAACAATCAGGAAAGCAGGTCCGTGTTCCCTGAGACACTCCACTTTGCTCCCTCGCCCCTCCTTGGCCTGGTTCTACTGGCCTGGGGGTCCCGCTTTATTTCTGTTCCTTTTCTCCTCAATAAACTTTTTCTTTCTCTAAACAAACCTGCCTCTTCTCACTTGCGTGCCTGAGTGCCTGCAAAGTTCCTGCTGCAGCTTCGTGAGACCCCAGCCCGTGGGGGTCAGTGGCCGGGGCTCAGCGCTGCCCCCACAGCCTGGGGTCCGTTCCTAGCCGGGAGACTAGGCCTGAACACCTGCCATTTCGGTATCATCATGATGAACAACGTCAGGGTCTGTGACTCCACACTGATGGAGTGAAGGGTGAAGAGGGAAGATGGGAAAATCACTATTTGACATGATCATAGCTTAACTGATTCGACCAAGCAGTGCTGACGTTATGGCAGGTGCTGGGTTTGGTGAGAAACAGGATAGTAACCCAAGATATTCTTTTTTTTTATTTTTTAAACACCAGATATTCTTAATCACAAAGGGGAAAACGGGGTAACTGCACAGCGAAGCAGCCAGCAAGGGCCGGGTGAGAGTGGGCAGAGCTCAAGGGGATACATCTGCACCGGGACACACAGAGGCGCTCAGCGGTACCGCCTGGGGATGGAGCAGCGGGAGCGAGGACTTGGTGGGGAGGGCAAGGCTTTTCACTGTAAAGGATTTGCACTTTTTTAATTTGAAATTTGTGATGTGTTCAAGAACTTTAATTATCAAATCTGCAAGAAATTTAGTAAAATGCTGACAGCAACATTTTAAATTTAAAAGTTATCACTTCTCGGGCCTCCCCTGGTGGCGCAGCGGTTGAGCGCTGGGTTGCGAAGCTGCCCGCAGCCTCTGCAGCGCCGGTTTGATCCCCGGCTGCTCCCCGGCCACCGGAGGAGGGTCCCACATGGTGCGCAGACCTCTCCTGCCGCCCGCTGCTCCCCTCAGCAGTGTCCTTCGGGCCTTCTGCCTGCTCTGCTCCCCGCTCTGGCTCTGGTGAATTCTCTCACCCACCTGCGCTTCTGACTATACCCAGTGCTTGTATAAATAAATAAATAAAATAAAAAATTTAAAAAAAAATAAAAAATAAAAAAAATAAAAGTTATCACTTCTCTTATTTAAAATCCCAACGTTGAAAACAAAGAATGGAAAATTAAAGGCATCGCTGAAATGACCCTCCTATTTCCCCACCCTTTTAATCTCTGTGTTTCTGGGGCAAACGGATAGATTTTACAAAGATATCATCTCTGTCCTCTGGAAAGCACGACGCCTCCTCCACAGAGGACGCTGGCGGCCACGGAAAACAGCCTCCACACTGTTGGATTAGTCAGTCAGTCAGTCAGTCAGTCAGTCAGTCAGTCAGTCAGTCAGGTATGGGGTCAGAGGGCCAACTGCTAAAACAGGTGCTGAAAATGGTCTGATCGCCAAGGTCTGGTATTGACCTGTGGCTGTTTTCACCCCAAAATATAAGTCTAAGGTTTCGTGCCACTACACACACAACTTCTGAACTGTATTCAGGTAAAATTATTTCACACTGTCCGAATGCAAAGTGCTGCCGGGTCAGCTCAAACGCCCTCACATGTCTGCAAAGTGTGTGACCCCGTCGCCAGCGGGCTAGGGCAGAGCCACGCCATCACGCAGCAGGTGTCTAGGGGGCACTAGCTCCTACCAGCCATTCACTGTTCAAAACTCTCTGGCATTTACAAATGGAGGAACAGCAGCGAGTGGCTCTTACATGGCAGCTCCAGGCCGGGGTGGACAGTGGCGTTTCTGACCATCGGCGGGGAGTGGCGGCCGTCGTCCATGTCCAGCTCCGCACACTGCGCCTCTCCGTGGATGACAGCCAGGCCCAGGCGCAGCCGTTCCGCGTAAGACTGGGCCCTGCGACGGGGACAAGGGCAAGTGTGGGAGGCGGCCCGGGGCGCGCCTCAGCACTCTCATCATAAACAGAAGCATCATTTGACCTTTTAGGGACACACAAAGGGTTACTTGCCCAAATCGGAATGGGGGGCTGGGGCCGGAAGGTAACAGGCCAGGAGGCCTGTGAGTGGAGAGGTGGCCCGTATCTGAGACTCTCACATTCACATTTGGAGGCAAGAACTTAGTTCAAAGAGTTCTCGTAGCAGCCACGCCCCCAAAAAGGCTCCCTGCCGTTATTCTTCTCCTGGGAGGGCGAAGGAAGAACTTCATTTTCTCCCAGAGGAAAACTGAGTAATTCAGATGGGCCGCCTGGAGGCTGGTGGCAACATGGGGGCGACCCTGATAGTGGAGGGCAAAGGCCAGCCAGGGGCCCCCGGGCCGGGCAGCCCAGGCCAGGTCGTCTCATTCTGGTTTGGGAAGGACGCGGGTAGGGTGTGGCTTCTTTACCTTTTTGCAGCATCAGGAGATTTAGCTACAATGACTGCATTTCTGTAATTTGGAATCTAGATTTGGAAGAAAAATGAGACAATACTGAAAGGTTATCAAAAAAAAAACACCTGGACACTGGCATTATTACACTTTTCCCCTCTTAGGAACCACACTGGCAATCAGATATATAGAACTTCATTCACACGTTTAAAAACATTTGACACTCATCAACTAATGTCAGTGCAAAAGGACTGCTGCATCATCAAGAAGGCAGAGCAGAAGTGCTTCTTAAACTTTTGGAAAAACATAAGCAAACTACTAAAGAGTCTTGGAAGGAAATCCATTTTTAGTCAATACAAGCTACGATCCTCCAGGCCTGAGCACCCCCTGGCTGCCTCAGGCATTAAGCCTTAAGGGAAAGGTCAGTGATGTGCCTTGCAGAGAGGAATCCGACCCCAGGACACTAGGCGGGGCCTCTTGGGAGGACAAGAGGTGTTTGCTGGTGGCTCCTCACTTCTTCCTGGATATACTGAAGCAGGAAAGGTGAGGCTCTAAGGTTGTCCACGGGAAAGCTGAAAAAGCCTTGGATTTCCTTTTGATGAAGGTCCATAGTGATAATGTGAGTTAAACCTGAAATTTTAAAACAAAAAATTACAAAGTTCTCCCCTACAAGTTAGTGGCAACAGAGGACTCACAGTAGACGCCCGGCTCCTGAGATGAGGGGGGCACGTGAGCCAGCACTTCCAATACAGACTTAATCCTATGACCTGAGGAATGCGCCAAGCCAAAGTAAAGGAGCCTAGAACCTTCCACACAGATAAAAACTAAAGCTAGAAGAAAGTACTCCCCTCTACCGTTATTAGCCTGGTTCTGAAGATCCAGAAAGGAAAATTCAGGTAAAGGCGAAACATAAACACAGAATTCATAAATACTGAAGAAATAATAGATAGAAAAAAGCAGCAAGGCCTTGCTTAAAGCAGCCAGGAGGAAATAGTAAAGGAGTGTGACTAAAGGAGAGGGAGTAAGAAAGCAAAGTGACATACACACTAGAGGGAAAGAAATTCATGCGACATAGGATAAGGTGCTGGAGCTTGGTGTGATTTCTAGATGTCACAAAAATGGATCAAGTATTCTTGGAGAAAAGCAATAAAGACAATCCTCTCATAATTAACGGTGCTACTCAAGAAAAGCACTTACGCAAACGGGTTGCAAAGGTCAAAGGGCACTGCCCAACTTCCCTGGCAGACCCCAGTGTCACTTGTTCTTTCCAAATACCCTTTTTCTAGAGAATGGGATTCAAGTGTTTCTGAGGATCTGAATGTATATACTGGCTTTTTTTTTTTTTTTTTAAGATTTATTTATTAGAAGCGCGGGAGGGTGAGCGAATTCACCAGAGCCAGAGCGGGGAGCAGAGCAGGCAGAAGGACCGAAGTCCACTGCTGAGGGGAGCAGCGGGCGGCAGGACAGGTCTGCGCGCCATGTGGGACCCTCCTCCGGTGGTCGGGGAGCAGCTGGGGATCGAACCGGCGCTGCAGAGGCTGCGGGCAGCTTCGCAACCCAGCGCTCAACAGCTGCGCCACTGGGGAGGCCCTATACTGGCATTTTTAATAAACTTCAGACTAAACAAAGTCCTGGTAACTATACAGTGTTGTCACGTTTATTTATAGGCCAGGAGGTACGTCACCACCACAAAATCACAGAATAAAAGCAATGAAAATGAGCCGCTGTGCAGAATGAGAATCAGGGAGAAAACAATGAGTATGTAAGCTGAAGGAGTAGTTAAAAATGACAATCAGGGGGCCTCCCCTGGTGGCGTAGCGGTTGAGCGCTGGGTTGCAAAGCTGCCTGCAGCCTCTGCAGCGCCAGTTCGATTCCCTGCTGCCGGCGAGGGTCCCACATGGCGCAACAGACCTCTCCTGCCATACCCACTGCTCCCCTCAGCAGTGAATTTCGTCAGTCTGCCTGTTCTGCTCCCGGCTCTGGCTCTGGTGAATTCTCTCACCCTCCCGCGCTTCTGACTGTGCCCAGTGCTTGTATAAATAAATCTTTAAACAAATAAATAAATAAATAACAATCAACATCCAATTTGAATATTATGCACAAAACTTGAATTTGGCTGAGACAAGTGCGTAATTCTGGACCCGAAACTCAAAAGATGAGATACAGATGCCAAGACTGGCAGCTAAAACTCTGAGGAGATGAAATACAGAAGTGGGAGGATGAAAAAGTCCCAGATTAGAGCAGAGCAGAGAACAGAGCCAGCGACGCAACTCTAAGACAAAGAGCAAAGAAACCATTTACACCCGACTGGACTACCCTAACCAGAAAGATGAGAAAGGAAACAAGAAAAAGCAATTAGTGAACCACACTTAAAAAGAGCAAACTGGGGCTTCCCTGGTGGCGCAAGGGGTTAAGACGCAACCCATGAAGCTGACCGCAGCCACTGTAGCACGAGTTCGATCCCTGGGCAGGGAGCTACCCACATGGCGCAGCAGACCTCTCCTGACTCCCCACTGATCCCCTCAGCAGTGTGTTTCATCAGTCTGCCTGTTCTGTTCCCCACTCTCTCTGCTGAATCCTCTCAATCCTCACATCTCTGGCCTGAAGCTCAGCTCTTGTATGCATAAATAAATCTTAAAAAAAAAAAAAAGGGCCTCCCCGGTGGCGCAGCGGTTGAGCGCTGGGTTGCGAAGCTGCCCGCGGCCTCTGCGGCGCCGGTTCGATCCCCGGCTGTTCCCCAGCCACCGGAGGAGGGTCCCACATGGCGCACAGACCTCTCCTGCCGCCCGCTGCTCCCCTCAGCAGTGTACTTCGGTCCTTCTGCCTGCTCTGCTCCCCGCTCTGGCTCTGGTGAATTCTCTCACCCTCCCGCGCTTCTGACTGTACCCAGTGCATGTATGAACAGAACAAACAAACAAAACCAGCAAACAAATAAATAAAGCATGCCTCTATTAAAAAAAAAAAAAAAAAAAAAAAAAGAGCAAACTAGGGCCTCCCTGGTGGCGCAAGGGTAGTTAAGCACAGCACTATGAAGCTATCTGCAGCCACTGGCAGCATGAGTTTGATCCCCGGCCAGGAAGACACCCATATGGCATGGCAGACCTCTCCAGACTCCCTGCTGTTCCCCTCAGCAGTACACTTCAGTCAGTCTGCCTGTTCTGCTCCCCACTCTGTCTCTATTGAGTCCTCTCACCACCCTGTGTGTCTGGCATGCACCCTAGCTCTTGTATGCATAAATAAATAAAACTTAAAAAAAAAAAGGAGAGCAAACTAGTTGTGTGGGGGATGAACTAGCCTGGACAGGGGTCCCCAGGCTACCCCACTCACCGGCCTTGGCCAGCATGGAGGCCAGGAGCTTGCACACGATGGAGCCCCGCTTCCTCATCTTGCTCTGCTTGCTGTAGGGGAAGTAGGGGATGACCCCGATGATGTTCCTGGCACAGGCAGTCTTCAGCGCGTAGGCCATGATCAGCAGCTCCATCACCGCGGTGTTCACATCTCTGAAATGGTGACAATGGGCACATCTGGATTCATTTCACTGACTAACCCCTAAAAAGAGGTCACCGTTAGCCTGTAAACCTGGGCTGCTGAGGGGTGTTATAGGGACTTCATGATCACGCAGGCTTAGGATGGCATCTCCTGAACACGGCGGGTGGGGATGGGGAAGCCTCGTCCCTGTGGCTCCTGGGGTCTCCAGCACATGAATCCACTCTCTCTGCTGTCTAACCAGGACATGTCACTGGAGAGAGCCCGGTGATGCCACATCAACTGCTGGGGGCCACCCCAGGGACTCGGCTCAGGCCGCCTTCAGGGACGTCAGGGACACCCACCGGCCATCACGCCAGTTGCCAGCGCAGAGCTGATTTGGGCTTTCTTTTGTGGGTGGAGGGCGGGGAATCCTGGACTTTAGTTTCTAACACCTGCCCCATGTAGCATATAGATTCCTGACAAAGATGACCAGACAAAGGCAGAGACCAGGATCTGACAGTCAAGGGGAAGCTGGTTCCCCTTGAATAAAGCAGATCGGGACCCTCTGCTCGGCCACCAAGCCAAGCTCTGCCCTTTACAACAGAACAGGAAGGAGCCAAAAAAGGAGCCCTGAAATCCTTCTCCCGTTGCTCTCCCCCACTTGAGGTGTCCATGTGCTCACACGCCCCCTTGGTATAATCAGTGTCTCCTCCACACTCCCCCAGAGAAGCAGCATCACCTTGTGGGGCTGCCCCCATCCCGCGGGGAAGGGCTGTCTGGTGTCAGCGCCAGGCCTACGTGTAGCAGACGGGGCGAGCGGGCCACTGAGCGAGGGGCTGAGTGAACATCACGGGAGGGTTTTGTCATGGACCGTCTCTTGAAACTCGTGTTCATCTGGCTGAGGGGACCGTGCTTAGTGCCCCTGGGAGAGAGTGAGCGCCGAGACGCCCTTTTAGCAGCGAGGTTTCCACGTCCAACTCGGGGAACCTCCCCTTATAACGTGCATTTTCATAACAAAGTAGGGTTAGTTATGTCGCAAAGCACTTCTCCCAGAGGGTAGGAGCCTTGATCTGGGCTAGATGTTGGGACAGTGACAACGTTCCCTATGGACCCGACAGGTCCTGTTATTTTCCACTCAGCTCCTTCCTCTGAAGTGAAGTGGAGCATTTTTCTCCTTTACAGCCCCAACTTTGTAATGCTCAAGTCTGGTACCTAAAGGTTAGCAGTCACACCATTTTGGTATAATCAGGACAAAACCATTAAACACTTTCAAGGTGCTCGAAATAAATACTTGGTCAATTTTAGTTCGTTCATTCATCCAATGAACAAGTATTTACTGAGCACAGAGTCATGAGGCGTGGCTGGGAACGGTGCAGCGAACAGGCTGCCTGCATCCTCAGGGAAGGCCAGAGACCCTTGCCGGGCTGTCACCTGGTGCAGATCCTAAGTCACGTCAGGTTTTCCCCTCCCGAGATGCTGATGCTGGACTCCAAAAGCGCCTCCTCCCACGCTGACAGCCAAACTGAAGCCTCGTGGGTGCCGCAGGCCAGGAGCCTCAGAGGACTCAGGCCCATGTTAGTGGGACACCAGGCAACCAGAGCAAAGGTCTCGTCCGTATAGACTGCTTGTCAGAGTGTGAAGAGAAATTAGGGCCTCTTAACCTTCCGCTGTGTGACACGGTGTGGCCCTACGCGCTCTTCCACCTGCTGCTGTCCCCAAAGTGCTCCGTTACAGCCGGCGGACGCTGGAAGCGTGCGTCCAGCTCTCAGGTGAAGCCACTCGTGTAGTTGCAGGACAGCGAGGTCTGGACAGCCCACCACAGGGAGGCCCGACAGGGAGATATTAATGCAACTAGATCAACAACTTCCGAGGAGTCTTGATTTCAGAGTAACTTTCTTTTCTTTTTTCCTTTTTTTTTAAAAAAAGATTTATTTATTTATTATTTATACATGCACTGGGTACAGTCAGAAGTGCGGGAGGGTGAGAGAATTCACCAGAGCCAGAGCGGGGAGCAGAGCAGGCAGAAGGACCCAAGTACACTGCTGAGGGGAGCAGCGGGCGGCAGGAGAGGTCTGCGCGCCATGTGGGACCCTCCTCCGGTGGCCGGGGAGCAGCCGGGGATCCAACCAGCTTCGCAACCCAGCGCTCAGCCGCTGCGCCACCGGGGAAGCCCCAGAGTAACTTTCTTTTCATTAATTACTAATTATTCCCATGAGGCTTTTCTTTTCCACTTTTTCCGCTCGCTAATGGCCTAAGCTAAGGATTCGACATCCTCCAACTCAAGGATGAGGAAAGCCTCCCACTCCCCACCCCTGAGAGGCCAGGAAGGAGACAAAAGGACCTTTGTCACACTGACTCCCAGTCCCAGTGGCTGACAGACATGGGACAAATGGGACAGCAGGCAGCCACCTCGCGGGCGAGCTGGGGGAAGAGACGCTGGCCGGCAGCCCTCGCTTTGTTATCTTTCCCTAAGAATGTTCCAAGCACATCCTGGCTTCTTGTGGTCTCTGTGTCTGAGTGGGACAGCCTCAGTTGTTTACCAGTTGAGTAGTTTTCTTTCCCGGAACACGGCACCCCGCCTATTAACCCTGCGCTGCGGCTCCACGCTCGTTAAGCAGCAGACAAGAGCGTGAGGTGAGTCCACCTACACCGATTCGGCCCCAGGAAAGGCAGAGGCAGCCCAGCACAGCGGTCACCGGGCAGGACCCAACCCGCCCTCCTCCACCAGCTGGTGACCGCGGCAAGCACGTTCTAAGTGTTCTCTCAGGCGCGAGCCTCTTATGTCACTTCAACAGATCAGAACATGTAGCGTAAACAGGAAAAATGCCCTTTAAACACCACGCTGTAAGCCGATCTGTCTTAGCACAACTGCTCGGAGGGTAGATGTGGAAGGCCCAAGGCACCTGCTGCTCCAGCTTCTGGCACAGAGCGCCCAAGCCGGGCCTTTCCTGCCGGGAGGGTGAGGAAGGTGCCCTTTGGGACACTGATGATGACACTGACCACACACCCCCAAGCGCGGGGCTGTCTGGGGTGGGGGACAACGACAACCTCCGCTACTGGAGTTCTGACTTGGGGCAGCCTGGAGGTCGGGCCAGTCACCCACACCGGGATTTAATCCACCCTCTATGCAATGGCGCCTCCATAATGAAACTGAGGGAGGCGGCCTGGAGCACTTCCATGTGACGTACTCGAGATGTGGGCACGAGGTGCTCCTGGCAGGGCACCTGGCAGCACCACTCTCCCTTCACAAGCTGTAACACACACGCACGGAGCAACGCCTACCATGTCCCTCCACGGGCCTTGAGGTCACACCCACTTGCTGGTGAAAGGGAAGGTGTCAGGCGCCCACGACAGGCCGGCCACGCGTTGCAGCCCAATAAGGCACCGCTCAGCCGTGGGGAGACGTGGGCCTGGGCCAATGCCTGAGGCGCGGACCATGCCCTCGAGGAGGCTAGCAAGGAAGTGGCAGGCAAGTAGAGATGACAGTGCAACATGAGGAACAGGAGCAATTCCAGAAAACTCTCTTTTGGGAAGCATTTTCTTCAACATATAAAAGCATTTCTAAGCATTTCTGAGTGCGGGAAAAAATGGAACCAAATGAAAAGACGAGTCCCGTCTCTAAGATTTTCAGAGGAGGGGCCTCCCTGATGGCACCAGGGGTTAAGCACCGCACTATGAAGCAATCCGCAGCCTCCGCAGCACGAGTTCGATCCCCAGCCGGCCAGGGAGCAACACACATGGCACAGCAGACCTCTCCTGTCTCCCCGCTGCTCCCCTCAGCAGTGTGTTTCAGTCCGTCTGCCTGTTCTGCTCCCCGCGCAGTCTCTTAGGAGTCCTCTCTCCGCCCTCACTGCCCCCGCATCTCTGGCCTATACCCCAGCTCTTATATGCATAAATAAATAAATCTTTAAAAAAAAAAAAGATTCTTAGAGGAAAGCAGCACACCGAGTGACACCAGCCCTTACCTGGGTATTGTCTGGATGATGAAAATATCTTGGCCACGAACAGATTCTTTTATTTCAACTCTTGTCTCTGAAAAAAAAAAAGTTCTATAGTTTTAAGAAAAGCATGTCATGATGCAATAACTGTGTGGCAATTGGGAGAGAATAAAGATGGACCTAAATCAATACTTCACTTAGTGCACCAAAATAAATTCTTAATAGCTCTCAGGATAACATGCCCGTATGTAAAAAAGAATTAAGCTAAGGGGAAAATAAAGCCAAAAATAGAATAAATGGCAAAAGGAACAAGCAGGTCTTTGTAAAATCCCAGGGTCCGAAACAAAACCATCACCAAAATAAAAAGACAAGATGCCTGGGGCAAAGCGAAGCATATAAACAGGTCACATTTAACATCCCCATTATTTTTTGAACAAATGCTGAGGTCTTCTCTGGCCAGGCCCACGCTGGGGCCCCCCAAGAGGACCAAGCGGACTGCCCTGGTCCACGAGAGACAGAGCATTGCCACAGGCTGGCCAGGCCCCCGCCCTGGCCGCAGTACCAGCCCTGATAAAGGAGAAGCAGCGAGCGAGCTGGGGCAAAGGCCCCACTGCCAGCTGGAATATGCAGTGAGGACGGGCGTGGGAAGCAGCAGAAGATGGGGTCAGGGGTGGGCAGAGGTCCACTCAGAAAGCAGGGAGAGGAGGCCGAGCAGCTGGACCATCAGGACTGCAGATTTTCCCTAAGACTGTTAAGAAGGCCAAGGGAGAATTCAGGAGTGCACAGGGAGTGACCCACCTGTTGGCAAAAGCATGCTGGCTACGGGGAGAAGGAAAAAACTGGCAGGACAAGAGCAGCACCAAGGAGCCCACTCCAGCTGCTTCTGGAAGGTCCAGGAAGGCGATAGAGGGGCAGGGGCCTGAGCAGTGCAGAGGCCCCAGCGACAGGCCTGGACAGGGTATTCTGTGGAGTGAGAGCACCCAAGATGTGCGGGTGGACGAGATGGCAGGTGAGGAGCAGAGCTCAGCACCCAAAGGGGCCTTGTGCCTACCAAGGAGACTGTACCGCAGGCAGGAGCAAGTCAGAAAGATTTGCACTTTAGAAATACCCTGGTGGAGGGGAGTGGAACGGACTGGAGAGGATGAACATGGAGGTGGAAGGCCCGCTGGGAAGCAACTTCAGCAGGAGCAGGCAGGCCTAGACGGTGATGGAAGGATGGAGGAAAGGGTCCTCATTGACCCAGCGTCCCCTCTGACTCAAGTGCGTGGTTTCATGTGCTGCGCAGAAGCATCACTGTGAATTCAAACCACACAGCCGGCTCGCTGACTGGCCAAGTCAAAGGAGAGTCGGTGTGGCAGCTGGAGGACACTGGGGTCCATCAACACACACTGCCTGCCTGACCCCGAGGAGAGGGCGCCCTGGAAACTACCCTTCCCTTTGCAAGCACTTGACATCATCCTGTCTTAGGAATGTATTTTCTCAAGCAATTTACCCCACAGTTGTGCCTTAGAAACAGAAAAGGAAGAATCAGGAATCCACATTTTCCATTTGCAAAAGCAATTCTGATTCGCTCACATAGCTCTGCCTTTGCAAGGACTTACGGCCCCACCAGGCAACGGCCAGGCAGGGTGCCCAGACTCTCGCCCGGCCAAGCGCTTTCCACCAGCTCCATATAAGGTCGCAGCTCTCCACCCAACCTGGGTGAGAGCGGAAGCTGGTCACCTCCTTAGGGTGAGCAGCGACAGGAGACTGGCAAGAAAAACTCGGAGAGAACCGAAAGAGTGTGCAGCCACTCCAGCTCCCCGCCACCAGATCATTCGCCATGCCACCTGATGCCATGCCAGACAGGGGGCGCTAGGAAGTATTTATCGAATACAGTCCAAACAGGAAAAATGAAGCCCACACGCTCTACATTTCACCTTTTCTTCATTCTGAAATGCTGGGAATTAGCTGAGAAAAGGAGAAATGGAGACTTTAGGGAAAATAAAGTCGCCGTGGAAAGGGAAGTAAACCTCTAACGCTAGAGAGAATGATGTTGCTGGCTAACACCTGCCTTTTGAAAACATGTTTAAAAACATAGTTTGGAGAACAGGCCTCCCTGGTGGTGCAAGGGGTTAAGTCGCAGCACTATGAAGCTGCTTCACCAGCCACTGTGGCCTGAATTTGCTCCCAGGCCAGGGAGCTGACCCACATGGCGCGGCAGACCTCTCCTGTCTCCCCGCTGCTCCCCTCACCAGTGGATTTCAGTAGATCTGCCTGTTCTGCTCCCCACTCTGTCTCTGGTGAATCCTCCCCCCTCCACCGTACCTGTGGCCTGTACCCCAGTTCTTGTATGCGTAAATAGTCTTGAATAAACAAAATGAAACATAGTTTGGAGAACAAAGACTCTTTAAGAAATCATGTTAACTTACCTCCATTGGTCTCCTGATACACCACAGACTTCCCCAACTCAGCACCGAGACGCCTGCAGGGGGGGCAGAAAGGCAATTAAGGATGCTTAAAAAGGGCCTCCTTGGTGGCACAAGGGAGACACAACCTATGACACAACCTATGAGGCTGTCCGCAGCCACTGCACCATGAGTTTGATCCCCGGCTAGGGAGCAACCCACATGGCACAGCAGACCTCTCCTGTCTCCCTGCTGCTCCCCTCAATAGTCTACTTCAGTCAATCTGCCTGTTTTGCTCCCCACTGTCTCTGGTGAATCCTCCCACCCCCCACCCCTTTGGCCGGTACCCCAGTTCTTGTATGCATAAATAAATCTTTAAAAAAAAATAAAAGATCAAATTAAAGAGCTTCTGCACAGCAAAACAGACAATGGCCAAAACAAAGAGAAACCCCACTAACTAGGAGAAAATTTTTGCACACAACACTAATGATAAAGGACTGATCACAAAAATCTACAAAGAGCTGAGACTCAACAAAAACAAAGAAAATAATCCAGTCAAAAAATGGGCAGAAGAGCTAAAAAGAAACTTCTCCAAAGAGGAAATACAAATGGCCACCAGGCATATGAAAAAATGTTCAACGTCACATGCAATCAGGGGAATGCAAATCAAAACTACAATGAGATACCATCTCACACCAGTGAGAATGGCACATATTAAAAAAACTAGCAACAACAAATGTTGGCGAGGTTGGTGGAGAAAAAGGCTCTCCTGCACTGCTGGTGGGAGTGCAAACCGGTCCAGCCACTATGGAGAGCTGTGTGGAGATTTCTGGACCTACTAAACATAGAGCTTCCATAGGATCCAGCCATTCCACTCCTAGGTATTTACCCAGAGGACACAGAAACATCCATTCCAAAGAGCACCTGCACCCCTATGTTTATAGCAGCACTGTTTACAATAGCTAAGCTTTGGAAACAGCCCAAATGCCCAAAAATAGATGACTGGATCAAGAAGATGTGGTACAGATACACCATGGAATATTACTCAGCATTCAAAAAAGATAAACTCATGCAACTGGCAGCAACATGGATGGTGCTGGAAGGGATCATGCTCAGCGAAATAAGCCAGAAAGAAAAAGAAAAATACCGGATGGTCTCACTCATAGCAGGAATCTAGAAAACCTAAATATGGACCAGGAAAAAGAATAACTATAAGAAAGAAAAAAATCAAAATCAACAAACAACTATGAAACAGAGACACTGGGGGGGGGGAGGGGGATTGGGGTCAAAATTGGGGTTGCAATTGTATGGGGATTATAAAAATAAAAAAAAAAGTGAAAAAAAAAAAAGAATGCTTAAAAAAAAAAAACAACCCTCCAGTCCTTACGCACATGTTAACAAAAAGACAATCATGAGGAATGGAAAATCTGCTGTCACTGCACAGGAGTTTGAGGTGCTCACCATTTTATAACACTCTGCTTTACTGGAAAGAGCTCCCAGTCAAAGCTTAAATTCTACTTCCTATTTGAATAACAATTATCTTGGGAATCCTTCCCAAACACATTCTTAGTTACTAGGAACTATTCCAGAGACACAAGCCAGAGGTTGGGGCCTCCACTGTGGAGAGGGAGCAGGTGCAAGCAGTTACCTGGTCGCATCCTGCGCAGAACAAAGCAAGTGTAAAAGGCACTTCTGAGACAATCGGGGAACGTGAACAATGACGTAAGGAAGCCACGGAGGGTAGTTTCTGTGCTGTCAAGTGGTCAGCACGGCCATTTTAGGAGTGTGTCACATAAGGCAAGGATGGAATCTGGTTTAAAACACTCCAGGCCCAAAACGAAATAGCCTTAAAAAGGAATGAAACTTTGCAACGTGCAGCATCATAGGGAACCTTATATTGCAACCATTCTAAGTAAAATAAGTCAGAGACTAAGAGCCAAATATTGCAGCTTCATACCCAGAAGGCACAAGAATAGGAAAACTCATACACAGAAAGTGGAATAAAGGCGGGGGGATGAGTAATTAGTATTGAATGGCTATGGGAGTATCTGTTTGGGATGAAAAAGTTCTCCAATTGAAGATACACAACACTATACTTCATATCACTGAATTATACACCTAAAAATGTTTAAAAATACTCCAGCCCCAGAAAGTGAGGGTCAGGTGACAGAGATAAAACAAGATTAACAAAAAGAGCTAGTGGAGATGCTTGGGGGTAATTATGACAGACATGTGACTTATGTAACACACCTTTTTCCAATGACTCAAGTACATACTCAAAAAAGTCTGAGAACCCCTACATGAGGTGTAGATCTGAAAGGAAGTGTGGAAATAAAATAGCATCTCAAGAGCATCCAATCTATCTTCAAACTTTGTGTAGTGGTAAAACCCTTTTTTTTAAATGAAATCTTCCTGAGAAATTCAACATATGGAAAAAACAAGGAAAACAGTTGTAAACATTTATTATTTACAGAAATGTAAGACCTTCTGGAACAAAGCAGGGCACAATCTCATTTAAAAACAAAAATGGAAAGGGTCTCCCTGGTGGGGCAGGGGTTAAGTTTCAGCGCCATCAAACTATCACCAGCCACTGCGGCACAAGTTCCATCCCCGGCCGGCCAGGGAGCTACCCACATGGCGCAGCAGACCCCTCCTGTGCCCCGGCTGCTCCCCTCAGCAGTGGATTTCAGTAGATCCGCCTGTTCTGCTCCCCACTCTGTCTCTGGTGAATCCTCTCACCGCCCCCTCCTCTGGCCTGTACCCCAGTTCTTGTATGCATAAATAAAAATAAATCTTAAAAAAAAAAAAAAGGGAAAACCATGTCAATGTGTCCTCTGTCTGCCCCCCCCCCAGGTCGCTGTGTGGTAAACCCCAAAATAACTACGGCTTCATATTGAAAGTCAGTATTTTACTTGGCCTCAGAAAGGCCCAATAATCGGAGGCCAGAAACAGAAACGCGGTGGCAGGCCGAGAAGGATGCTTTTACTCCATCACGTTTAAAACTCGAGCTGAAAATTGGCCTATTGAGAAAATGGGACTCGGGGGCCCCTTCCCTGCAAGTCCACACAGACTGTGAAACAACCCGCGCAGCCGCTTCTCGGCTCGGAGGCGCCCGGGGCCGCGACGACGACTTTCCCGGCGGGCCGGGCCGCGGCCTCGGCCTCGGCCTCGGCCTGCAGCGGCGCCGCGCGGCTCGGGCAGGGGCTCCCAGGCCCGTGCTCCCCACGCTCGGGGCGCCCCGGCTCCCCAGAGGCCCGGCCCGACCAGGCCCCGCCCACGCGCGGAGTTCGGGGAACCCGGCCTCGGGGGGGTGGGGGGGCCGGCGGCGCCCGGGCCGCGGCTCCGTGGAGAGCAGGGGCCGCGCCCACCGCCCCCGGGAGGCCCGAGCGCACCCACCGAGGGGGGCGCCCCCTCGTTCCCGCCGAACGCGGTGTCGGGGTGCTCCCGGCCACGCCTTCCGCTCCGCTGGGAGCCCCACGCGCTGGCCTCCGCGCCGAGGAGACGGGAATGGCGGGGGCCCCGCCCTCCAAGGGACCCCACGGGCCGTCGCGGCCCCCCGGGCGTGGGGGAGGGGAGGGGTCCCCAAGCGCGCGGGCAGGAGGGACGGCGGCGCCCCAGCGCCCGGAGAGGGGTTCAGGGGACGCGGGGAGGGGAGGCCCAAGGAGCCGGGGGGGGGTCCGGGTGACCCGGGGGTCGGGGGGCAGCGACCCGGTCGGGGAGCGCGCAGAACGCCCCTCAGCCGCCGCTCGCGGGGGGCTTTCGCCCGCGCGCGCCCCGAAACGGCCGAAGGGCCGACCCCCGCGGCGGCGGCGAGCAGGACCCCGCGGCCCGGCGCCCCCCGCGGCCCGGCGCCCCCGCGGCCCTTACTCGGTGATGCGCTTGGCCAGCTCGGTGCAGGCGGCCGTGGAGTTGGCGGAGAAGACGCGGTAGCCGGTGCGGGCGGCGTTCATGGCCGGGGGCGCGGCGGGGCGGGCGCGCGGGGCGCGGAAGGCCGAGGCCACGGACAGCGGCGGCAGCAGCAGCAGCTTCTTGGGCATCGTCCGGCCCGAGGCGCGCTGGCCGCGGCTCGCGCGGGGCCGCACCCGCCGGGCTTCCGACGGCGGCGGCGAGAAACCAGCCCCTCGCGCGGGCGCGGCGGCCCCGCTCCCGGACCCGAGGCCGCGACCGTCCGGCCGGAACCCCTCAGCCGCCCGCGCCTCAGCCGCCCTCAGCCGGAGCGAGGCCGCCGCCCCCTCCGAGCAGCGAGCGGCGCCGGGCTAGAGCGCCCGCGGCGCCGCCATCTCAGGTGCGGGCAGGGCGGTGGGCCACCCCGAGAAGCTCGGCTTTCCCAGGGAAGCGTCGCGGATTCACTCCGCCGCTAGATTTTGTAGCTCCCGCAGCGGCCCTTTTTCTCTCCTGTCCTTGGGCGGCGCAACGTGATTTGGTGGTGGTCCCGGTCGTTTCCAACTTTTCTGCCAGGATCCAAAATGTCGGCTCCTGGGCGGCTAGCGGGCTAGATGGGCGCCTCTATGGTAACACAGCCGCTGTTCGCTCCCGGGCGCATGCGTCCAACAGAGCGCTGGGCCAGTGGGGGCGGGGCTCCACGCAGGTGGCGCTGCCTGCCGTAGTAGAACGCCCCCAAGATGGAGCCTGGTCTTTGAGACTTTGCCCCAGACGCCTACCTTGTGTGCGCGTGGAGGGCAAGGTTCTCTCCACTGGACAGAGACACTCCTGTCAATGTTATGTTTTCAACCATAAATGTCCTCTCCGCGCCCCTCCACTGGCTGGGGTCTCTCAGGCTCACTCACGAAGCATCTGCTTCTTCACGAAGTCTTCCCATGCCCCCCTCAAGCACAGGACACTGTCCTCGCGACTGGACTCTCTCATGTGTACTTGCTTGTATTTTTATTTCCCTGTGTGAACATGTGTCCCCCCGGCCAGGAGGTACACCCTCCTGGGGCGAGATCGTTTTACTTAGTGCCTCACGTTTCCCTGTGTCCAGGGCAATGTTAAGGGTTTAGAGGCAGGTGATCAATAAATACTTGTTGGGGAAGGTCCAAGAACAAAGTAAAAGGCAAGAGGCGAAGCATTCTGTCGTAGCTGTCAGCTACGCCCCAAGATTGGGGGGAGGAGACGGTGTTGAGCCTCTCACGTGGATAATATCTTCTTCTGAAAATGTCCTTCAGGGACTCTGCCTGTTGCGACATTGCGCCCGAGGCAACAATAGGTTCTGATTTGTCTTGTCAGAAAGGCTCACGAGCCTGAAACGTCAAGACTTGGAAACTGAACTGCTTGGGGCTGCCAGATCCACCCTCTACTGCAATTTCCAGAATTACTGCCCCTCCCACCCCCTCTCTCCCAGAATAGGTTTTTTTAAAAAGTGAGCATAAGGGATAAACAACAAGGTCAAATTATTTAAGTAGTGCACACATGTCCAGCTGATAGACCCAGCCAAAAGCCTTGTTACCTTCTAAATCAAAAGGAAACCACTTCACATTTCCCCTGTATACACCAGAGAATCCCTCAACCCCTCATACACTCTGAACTGATCCATCTTCCGTGCCTCAATTCCCAGAACTGCACCTTCTCCTCCATTTGCTCTGCAGTTGAGCATAAACTGAGATCCCCAGTCAGAAAATCGAGGGGTCCTCTACTCTTTCTTGCCCCTGGTGTTCTATCTCTACCCATTTCTCCATACGTGAACACTTACTGAGCACCTAGTGTTTACCAGACCTGTTTTAGGTGTTTGGGATACTTTAGTGAAAGACGAAGCTGTGCCTACTTCTCTTTTCTGAGCGAAAATTCCTACATCATGATGGTTAATTTTATATGTCAACTTGGCTAGGCCATGATGCCTAGATATGTGGTCAAGCATTACTCTGTAAGTTCTGGGAAGGTGTTTTTAGAGAGTAAATTATTAAGATTAACATTTAAATGGATGGAAACTTTGAATAAAGCAGATTGCCCTACATAATGTAGGGGCCTCACCCAATCAGTTGAAGGAAGGGCTGAGTAGAAGAAGGACTGACCCCTGGCCCCCTCCCCTAACAAGACTGAACCCTGCCAGCAGGATTCAAACCTAGTCTGCCAATCATCCCACCATTCTCAATTCATGAAGTCTCCATAATCACAAGGGCTAGCCCCTCAAAAGAAATCTACGGGGCCTCCCCAGTGGCACAATGGGTTGAGTGCAGTGCTGTGAAGCTGTCCTAGCCTCTGCAGCATGGGTTCAACTCCCAGCCAGCCAGGGAGCTACCCACATGGCACAGCAGACCTCTCCTGTCTCGTCAGCTGCTCCCCTCAGCAGTGTATTCGGTCCATCTGCCTGTTCTGCTCCCTGCTCTGTCTCTGGTGAATTCTCTCACCCTCCTGTGCTTCCGACCTGTACCCCAGTTCTTGTATAAATAAAATCTTTTAAAAAAGAAAGAAAGAAAGAAATCTGTGTGTGTGTGTGTGTGTGCATCATGTTGGTTTTCTTTCTGGAGAACTCTCTAACATGGGATCTGCAGGAAGGAGAAAGAGGCCTTGTTCCTTTTGTAAAGTTTGTCTGTTTTGAAGTTTGAAGGGGCTTCATTTGAACAGTTCCCCCTCTTTTTGTTTTCTTTGTTTTGTTTTTACTGTTTCTCTGTTAGACCAAGGGGATCCTTGCATCTCCAAGCCCCACAGACATTTCCCAAAAAAAAAAAAAAACAGAACAAGCTCCGCTCCACACAAGGTGACATCTTTCCTATTCAAGCCCATTTCAGTTTTCAAGTTAAAAAAATGATTCCCTGGCTCATGGAGCTGCAGGTTCAGCAGGGACTATGGAAATATGATCTTTGTTCTAAAATGGAGAGGACAAAGGGTGGCACCAGCTCACTTGCTGTGAAGAATTATCCCGCCTGGACTGCAAGACAAAGGGGAATGTGTTCGGAGGGCTCAGCCCTGCCCCGGGGTGGGGATGAATTACTCGGAGACAAGGTCAGTCTTTGCAACAAAGCAGAACATTTCAGGCAGTGATTCAGGAGCTTTGCCTCCACGCTGCACTACTCCAGCTTAAACTTTGGAAAAATGGGAGCCTTTTCCTGTTTTCCTTCTCTGAACAGGACTCAGCAAGCTGAGACTGAATGATCTTTATTTCTAAAAATAATACCAACTTGGATCTCGAAGCTGATTCTCTCTATAGGATATCAGAAACCATGCTGGGGGCGAAAGCAAATACAAGGAGACTGAGCCAAGTGCTCCAGGGGTGACCCTCCCCCACTTCTGCAAGGACAGCAGTAGCAGCAGCTGCTGTGCCAGCCGCTGGAAAATCCAACATGGACCAGCAAGGCGGGTCTCAGAGAGACAGACTCTCGGACAGGGGTTTTCGGGACGGGAGGGTGAGAGAATTCATGGTGGAGGCCTTTGGAGGTTATCACAAATACCCAGACTTGGGAGATTTTTGAAGGCTTTGGTGCAATTATCCTTCCTGTGCCTTCTAGAGCTTCTGCCAAACAGGAGACATTTCCTTGGCCATATTGCCACATTTAGAGCAGCACTGGTAAAATGTGATCAAAGAGAAAGAAATGGGGGTGGGAGCTGTGGGGGCTGAGAAGGTAAGAGATGAACATGAAGGAGATGGGTCACAACAAATCGTGGACCAAAATTTCCTGGCTCAAGTGTGCCAAATTTGTCAGGTCCTATTAACAGCTAAAACCCCAACAATAGACAAGGCTGGAAATTGTTATGGTCCATATGATGCAGCCACTAAACACCCAGGACACTGGGAGAGGCCATGGGGTACACAGATAAGAGGGTCATCGCCCTAGCCAGCCCTTACCTGCTGTGAGACTTTGAGCAAAAAATATGCCTTCCTTTGCCTCAGTTTCTCCTCTGAGCAGTGGAATAGTATTACTTCCTGCACAGAAGGGCATTGTGAGGGTTAACATGCATCAGGCAGTCGGAGCAGGGCCTGGCCTGTGTGAGCTCTTAGGGGAAGGGAGACAGGAAGTATCTGTACACATTTGTTAGCCAGGGGGCAACCAGGAAAACAGCACATTTGTTATTTTAACAAAGAATGTAATACAGAGAATTGATTTAAATAGATATTACAGGAGAGCAGTGGCAGAAAGTAGACATAGGTGGGGGGCGGGGAGAGATATGCCCACCCTAGGAAGCAGCTGGGCAGCTGCCGTCCCCACGTGGCTGGGGGAACCAAGGGGAGTGTAGATTGGCTTCTAGAAGACTGGAAGGGAGCATTTCCATAGAGCTGGGACTCTGTGAGGAGAGGGCATTGCCCTGCTGGTGCCAATCTCTGAGCACAGAGGCTGGTTCTGGAAGTGCAGGGAATCCGGAAAGTAAACCAAGTTCCTTGATGGAGGATAAGAATAGAAAAACTTGGGGCCTCCCCGGTCAAACGCTGTGAAGCTGTCCACAGCCCCTGCAGCATGAGTTCAATCCCTGGCCAGGGAGCTACCCACATGGCACGGCAGACCTCTCCTGTCTCCCCGCTGCTCCCCTCAGCACTGTCTTCAGTCCATCTGCCTGTTCTGCAACCCGCCCTTTGTCTGGTGAATCCTCTCACCCTCCCGTGCTTCTGACTGTACCCCAGTTATTGTATAAATAAATAAATCTTTAAAAACAAGGAATAGAAAAACTGGAAAGTCCAAGAACCTAACTCATACAAGGAGGTGGGGGTAGAAGGGATGAGTATAATTCATTAACCCAGTTACAGAAACCAAGACCCTTAGGCATCAACACCCAGATCAGGAGGCGCAACACCCCGAAACTATCAGGCTGCTATAGGGAGTGTCAATGGCACAAACCATCCACCCACAAAGATGAGCCCCTCCCTGAAGATGATAAAACCTAATGCAGCCCCCACAACGGGGCAGCCCTCTGTCTGCCCACCTGTGCCTATACAGGTGCTTCCTTCCACCAACTCTCTCCCTCTGCAGGGCAGCAGCAGCCTCCTGCCTGCCCGTGACCTGTGCCTGCCGGGGCTTCTCCTCACTGACCTCCCTCAGCAGAGGCCTCTCTCCTCGAGGCCGCCCGCCTGCAACCACGCAGGCTTCTCAGCAAACCTGTCCTTTCGGGGCAGCCCTACCTGCCCGTTTGTGTCCACGCAAGTGTCCTTTACTCTCCTGTCCCTTTTCC